AATTGTGTTCGGTGATACTTTTTACTACTTGGGGCCTAAAGAGAGGCTTAGGATGGATGGATAACCAGAAAAGAAAACAAGACTTTGGCATAATTTGTTAGCAATATAGTTGGTCTAGCTACAGTTTTGCCATCTAGTGGAGGTTTCCTTTCTTTCGTGGCTCTTGAACCAAATCACCATTAACCCTGACTTTGGATCCAGATAGTCCCTCATGCAGCGTCCAGATGAGACACTCATTTTCTTCCTGATTGCCATCAGCTTATCTCTAGAAAGACCTAAAAGAGTGACACCTGTCTCTACTTTTGGAATGGCTACATGTCCACAAAACTCAAAAATTTCAAATTTCACCAAATCCAACAGCCTTGCAGAAATGTGCAGTTATCAATGTCACCACATAGATTGGGTGAGGAGCAATTTGATTGCTAGTCTATAGACATCCCTGTTCAAACATTGGTCTCTTGAGGGGAAGGATTTTTTAAAAAATATTATGCCATTTATTTTTCTTCTGCCACAGAAACTGGCACAAGCTAACATATTCCAGGAATCCAGATAAGCATATCGCATTACTGCAGGAGGTCTTCACTATTTTTTTTTTTTTTTGAAGTACTGGAGAATTTTTATGGAATTATGTGCTTGGCTGATTGTCTGGTATTTCCATTGCCTAGTAATAGAAGAAACTCCAGCTATAACGTTCTGAATTCTCAAAAAATGTCCACAGATGTTCACCACTGGGCAGTTGGTGAACATCCCAGAGTAAAATTTTGGAACAGTTTACCTATTTGAACTCAAACTGAGTGGAATGATGATGACTTGATTCTTATGTTTAAAAATCACAAACATAAATTCCTTCTACCCAAAAGCACTTCCCAATCCCTCCTGCCTTTGCCCCTCCACAAAAGTTTCTGGATTTAAGATTAAAGTATAAAAACAACCAGTATGGAGTTAAAAAATTTAGAACATTTTTTACCAAATAAATGGCTGCACACTACTACAGAAAGTGGGAGTAGGGGGCAGAGAGATGGTCAAGGACCAAATACTATGTTTACAGATTTCCCGTTAATCCTATTTTCAGCCCCACATCTCTTACTTACCTCACAGTATCTGATGTTTCAAAGTCCCAGGTTTCTCTGAGGTCTATGGGACAGATCAGTTCCCTTCTCTAGGTCTCAGTCTAGGTCTTAGTAGAGGTGAACCCTAGGGGATTAGAAGCGGTATGACACAGTAAAAAGAATATAGAACTATATCCTAGTCCCACCTCTACTACTGACTTGAACTTGGGAAAGTCATGTCACCTCTCTGGGTCTTTCTCCCCCACATAACCTAACAGAGTCAGGCACTCTTGCTCAATGATAGAATCTCCTCATCCTCTCACCCCTAAGCAAAGCAGCCGAAACTTAGAGAGGATGAGCCACGAGGATCCTTGAGGCAGAAAGTCCTTAGGGACCCAAAATAACATAGAATGCCTCATGAGAGAGCTGTGCTGGCAGCCTGAAGTCATAAATAGCCATGCTGTACTGTTTAAGAGCTGTGAACACATAGTCCTTTACCATGATGGATGGTAGGCCTCAGCCCAGTAGAAGCTGAATCCAGATGAGACCCCTGGAAAAGCTGGGGAGGGGACTGTGCAATCACTCTTCTCTTTAAGGAGTCTCCTTGGCCTGCAGGATAAAGAACCCACTCCACCCTGGGCTTCAATTTAACCATGCAGGCCAAGAGTATGTTGGATGTACCACTTGTGCACACCTGGGGTTTTTGGGATTAGATACAACAAAAGAGCCACATCCAGAAGTTAACAGCGTGTGCCTTGGGCTCAAATCTCAGTTGCACGGATTGGCTTTCATTGGAGCTGATTCTGAGACAAAACATTATCAATTACTGTGCAGGAAGTTTCTGAGGGAGTACTTTCAAGATCAACTCCTGCGGAGGAAGGGAAGCAAGGAAGATTGAGCAGAGGAAGCATTCTGCAGTCACAGGGGCCTCTGGCAGACCCTACAGGGAGCTCTGAAGCTCGATGGCTTTTTGGAGTTGTTAGCTGGGGTACAGAGACCAATCCTCTGTACGCCTGCATGGACTAGCCACTGGATTCAAGCTACCCCAGGAATGGGGCATGCATGACCTTGAGGTAAGGTGGCTCTCAGCCAAAGACAATTCCCTGAGAATGTTGGCAGCTGTGATCTGTCAGATTACCTACTACCATTTCAGTAACTGGAATAGATGCTTCAGCTCTGAAGGGGGGCTAGGTAGCACACTAGCATTTGCAATAGTGCACCCATGGTGCAGCACTTCTTTTCAATTAGGAGAGCAGCACCTTCAGGATCTTGGTGGGCATCTTTTCCCGTGGGAAACTTATAAGAGGAAGATGAGTGGAACACCAGCTGCAGCTGCAGAACTGACATTGATGTCATTTCCTTCCTCTCCTAGCATCTTTGATTCTTCAAACCTGCCAACGCATCTGATGTCCTAGGTGACTTATGTGCTGGAAGGCCTAGGCCACCATCCCTAAGGAGTTTGAGCCCCTGGGTGCCATTTACTTCTCAGGCAGTGGCTGCTGTATTTGTCTATTTACTGTCAAAATAGGACAAGGGAGTACTAAGAGACACCCACATGGATCTTGTGGGTGTGAAACCATTCTATTTCATTACTGGTGAAAAACTGAATAATCTAAGTGCTTCTCTGTCTACTGTGGATGGGGTCCTCATTGTTACCTGGTCAGTGAATTATCCAGCTCCCAAATCCCATTGTAGCACCTGCTCTTTCAGACCATGCCAACTGCTGGTGCAAGTAGGTTCTCTAGGAAACACACTATGAGTTACAGAGAGTTTATTGGAGACTGTGCTTGGGACCCACAATGGTGAGGGGAGGGAAGAAGTAGGACCAGGCAGAAGGAGAAGTCAGGTTGCAGTGCAGCCACAGGTGGACCTCAGTGCCTCCTGTAAGGACTCCTGAAGCTGGGATGGCCCTCCAGAGTTTTTTGAGTTGGACAGACAGCAGGTTTTTACCCTGCATTGATCTGGCTTACTTGAGAAGGTGTGAACTTGGGCAAGAAACTATCTTTGGCTAGCAGCAGGGGTGAAGCAGAGGCAAAAAGAAAAATCCCTCAGTTTTGAAGGGGGATCTGAGTGGCACAGCACAGCATCCGTGACAGTTTGTATCCTGCAGTTCCAACAATCAGTATGATCTTGTCATCTGCTTAAAAGCACTTTCAGCCTGGGTTGGAGGAGAGGTGGGTGGAGCCCCTGTGCTAGGCCCCAAGATGCTTCCCTCACAGAACCTCAAATGCTGCCATGCCTCATTTCTTCTAACTTCACCATTCCCCTACTAATAGGAAAATGGAAGAAAGGATATGTTTTATGGTAGAATTAATTTGATATCTGGACAGATGCTTCACCAGATTATTCAGAGGAAGAACCAGGCCATCCGTCTCAAGGAGCCACCTGCCAGAGACTCCTTGAGGTTGGGAGTAGTAGGAAACAGAAGAACTTTGCTCATTTCCCTTTGTACCAGCCTTTGCAACACAGGATTTATCCAACAAGAAATCTTCCCTGGCCCTGACTAGTGTAGCTTGGTTGGTTGGCCAGTGTCCTCCAAAATGAAAAGTCACAAGTTTGATTCCTGGTCTGGGTACATGCCTGGGTTGTGGTTTGGTTCCAAGTCTGGATGCATGCAGGAGGCAACTGATCAATGAATCTCTGTCACATCAGTGTTTCTCTCCTTTTCTTTATTCCGCCCTTGCCCTCTCTCCAGAGATAAATAAATAAAATCTTAGAGAAAAAGAAAAGATTTTCTTTAAAAAAGATCTGTTAAGACGAGATTTATGAGAGAGAAATTATGTCACCCAAACCAGTGTGATCTTTGGATTTCGGAGGCATACTCACTTGCAACAATAGAAGACATATTTTTTTGAATAAGAAATATTTTGTAACTTATCTAGGTTGCTTAAAGAGTTTCTGAAGTTAAAATTGATGTGTGAGTTATTGAAGCCCAGAAAGTACAAAGAAGTGGAGGGGGGGTGGGGAAAGAAATATGCCCTGGTATGTTATCTGGGTAGAGTCACAGAAACAGCTGAATAAGCTGGGAGCTGCCCAGGTTTGGACATCTTTGCACAGTGCCTGACACCTAGTAGGTGCTTGCTTACTATTTGTTGAAGGCAGGAATGCAAGGCGCTTAGCCTTTCAGTCTAATCAGAGTAGGGAGGACACAGGACCTACCTCATTCTGTTATTTTCTATTTCTTCTAAAATTTATTTTTGGTAATTTATATTGACCTAAAACTTCCCACTCCGTTTTTAAAAATCTCAGTTCCAAGAGGTGGAGCCCTTATTTGTCTTGTCTTATGCATCAGCACAAACTGTAGAGCAGGCTTCTAGTATGAGTAAATGTGTGTAAGAGGAAGGGTTATTTTGGAAAAATAGGAAGAATTAATTCTTCTCTGAATCATAACTCATTTTTTTTTCAGGTCACCCTTGGCCATTTCTCATTCAAAATATCCATGAAAAAAGTGTAGTTCCAAACAGTTGGAACTGTTGATGTAACGATATTTAGAAACGTTATTGGGAGGTAGCAGGGGAGTCTGTGCTTGCTGTGGTGGTCCTCTGTGGACCATTTCACATCTTTGAGACCCTCCCCTGTGCTTCCTCCACTCTCCCCACTTCAGTGGTTTCCCAGGAATGGATGTGAACTCCCTATCAGCGGCGCTGTACTAGTCCCTGCAGAACTTTTGTTTTTCTCCAGCAAAACATTCACACTCCATTTTCCAGGTTCACTGAGGCCTTCTGATGACAGCACGGCGGCCCAACTTCTGGGCATCATGGTCCTGCAGCCCCCGGGGGCAACCCACGGCGCCGGCCCTCGGTCTCTCGGCACGGCACCCGTGATCGGACCGCATACAGCACAGCACGCTGACCCCTCGCTCCGCTCTTCCAGAGTTCGAAACTGTTGGGAGTTGGACCAGCTTGGACTCAGCTCGGGGAGGCGCTCCTGACGGCCTGCCCACCAGGGGCCATGGAGAAGGACACCTACAAAAGCAGAGAAGGTGAGTGGGGAGAGAGTGGACAAGCCTTCCTCAGTTTTTTTCTCTGTAAAATGGGAAAAACACCCTCTTGGCCTCTCGCCATCATTTGTTTACCAGACTGTCATTTACTAGAGTAAGGGCCTCCCATCTCAGTGCACAGGTCTCTGACTTTTGGCAATCGCATACCTGCATTTAACCACTACCACAGTCAAAAGCCTTCACCGTGGCCACCAGCCCTCTCCCCAGCCCCAGCTCCTGATGTGTTCCTATAGTTTTGCCCTTTCCACAGAGAATGTCATAAAAATGAGATCATATAGTATGGAGTCTTTTGAGTCTGGCTTCTTTCATTTAACCCTGTTGTCCTTTGAGACATAGTAGAGTGAAACCCTGCCTAACAGGCCACTTCTCTATAGGCTCAAGGAGAGGATGGGGACTACTATAATCTTCCCCCCCTCCCCACAATATTTTATTTATTTATTCCTAGAGAGAGGGGAAGGGAGAAAGAAAGAGAGTGAGAGAAACATCGATCAGTTCTTTCTTGTATGTGCCCTGACCTGGCATTGAATCCCCAACCCAGGCATGTGCCCTACCAGGAATCAGATGATGCCCAACCAACTGCATCACACTGCTCAGTGTATGCCCCTATAATCTTGAAAAGTCTGTGAAGTCAGTTCCTCCTTGACACTAGGTTTTTTGCACACAGAGAAGATGAAGATGGGCAAAGACACCTGCTTGGCAGAAATAGTTGTGAACCCTGCCAGCTGGGGTGGGAGAGCAGGGGAAGCCCTTCCTTAATAGTGGGCGGTCTCCTAGGCCTCCAAAACACCAGTCACATGAATTTGGCAAAGGCTTAGTGAGTAGCAGTTTGTCATTTGTCCTTAAAGAAAAGTTATGTGTGTGTGTGAAATTCTGGGAAAATGTGCAAAACACAAATCTCCCCAGAAGTTCCTGTGTACTGGAAATGAGTTTCCCCAAAGCTTCCTGTTGGGAAGAATAACTTGTTTTAAATCATTCCTCAATCTTTGAAACTTTTCTTGTGATGTTTAGTTCTGTAGAAAACATATTTCAACCCCTCCCACCACCCATTGTCCCATCCCAGATTCTCCTCCCAAATGCTTTTTTCCTACTGTGCATTTCCACTGTAATTGCCATGACATGCTTGGGCAATTGTAGTAACCCCTTAATTTCCCACATCCACTCTGGACTCCACAATCTAATCTCCACACAGTAGCCAGAGTTTTCTTTTTCTTTCTTTCTTTCCCTGTTCTTTTCCTTCCTTCCTTCTTTCTTTAAATGTAAATCTTATCATGTCCCACATAAATTGCTTCTAACTTTTCCAGTTAGGTAAACCTGCAAGGCAGGTCTGCTCTGTCTTTGCTCCTCCTGCCTGCCCCTACTGGTCTCTATGCTCTTCTATCTCTGAATACTTTTTTAAATTTTCTTTATTTATTTTTAGAGAGACTGGAAGAAAGGGAGAGAAACATCAACGTGTGGTTGCCTCTCGTGCTCCCACAACTGGGGACCTGGCCCACAACCCGGGCATGTGCCCTGACCAGAAATCAAACCAGCAACTCTTTGATTCACAGGCGGGCACTCAATCCACTGAGCCACACGAGCCAAGGCCTATCTCTGAATCTTGATCCAATTTTCTCCATTCAACCTCCTTTGCCTAAATATTTTTTATTAGTCCTTTGGACCCCAATTCAGTTTTACCTCCTTTGTGAAGCCTGGCCTCCCTTCCCCACAGGGGACCTTGACCTCCTGTTGGTCATCCTGAGTCTTCTGTACTTCCCCTTCATAGCATGTGTTACAGCTGTATTCAACATGTATTTACATGACTAATGGATATCTGTCTCCTCGACTAGGTGGGAAGATCCGTGAGTACAAGAAACATCTCCTGAATCCCTAATATTTGTTAAGTAAATGGATAATAATAACTAATGTTAATGAAACATTTACAATGTGCTAAGCACTGTACAAAAGCCTTTTACTGTCTTATTTAATTCTCATAACAACCTTCTTGGGTGGACACTTTTCTTTACTGAGGAGGAAGCTGAGAATTGGAGAGGTTAACTGCCCAGAGGTCTGGCTTTAGGGCCCCAGTGACAACTGTCATGCTTCTGTCTATGTGAAGGTCCAAAACATATCTCCCTTTTTTTATTAGAAAAACAAATCAGCTTCAAGGTCAAGTCATCTGTGCACAACCTGAGCAAAACTCAGCAGACCAAACTCACTGTTGGCAGCCTGGGATTAGGCTTGATCATCATCCAGCATGGGCCCTACCTCCAGATTACTCATGTCATCAAGAAGGGGGCTGCAGCCAGCGATGGAAAACTCCAGCCAGGTGACTGCGTTTCCCCCACCTCCTACCACCCAACCCTGCTCCGCGCCCCACCCCCCGCAACTGCCTTCAGGGAGACTTAGGTTATTAGGTTTCAGTGTAACCATCATGATGATGATGACATCACCTGAGAACTTTCTATGGGCCAGCCAGTTGCTATCGCTTATGTGACCCTCCTTGATGCATTTTATTTATTCATTGAATTCTTATAACAACCCTCTAGGTACAAAATAGTATCGCCATTCCTTTACAGGTGAGGAAACTCCATAGTCTAATCTCAGGATCAGTGAGAATGAGTCCCTCTTCTTGTTCCACCCCCATCTAACAAGTAGAATTCAAACACAGGGAGTGTCACTGCAGAGCCCACGGCTCTCTGTGGATGAAGATTTCCTCTCTGGCAGGTAGTATTAATCATTATTAACATTTAGATGCATGACCTCATTTTAGGCTTCTGACAAACCTGGAGGAATATTCTGCTTTAAGGGACCTTATAGAGCCCTGGCTGGTGTGGTTCAGTTGGTTGGAGCTTCATCCCATAACTGAAAGTTTGCGCTTTTGATCCCTGGTCCAGGTTCATATGATCCCTGGTCTGGGAATGTATGGGAGAGAGGCAACCAATTGATGTTTCTTTCCCTTCCTCTCTCTCTAAAAGCAATGAAAAAATGTCCTCAGGAGAGGATAAGAAAAAAAAAAAAAAAAAAAAAAGGACCTTACAGATAAAGAATCAGATATTTAGAAACCTTCTTATGGTCACACCAAGGAGCAGGGATTTGAACCCTCTCTGTTACTCTCCACAGTGCAAGGGCTTTATCAGTACCACCCTGTTTCTCTTGTCTTTGGGTGAATTAATTTTTTATCCAATGCAAGATGTGTTTTCCCATTGCCTGCTCTGGGCCTAGCGCTGTGCTCAGGAGTCAGGGAGGCACAGTGGGATTATAATGTGGTGAAAAGAAAAACCATTCAGCATTAGCTGGACTGTAACTTTCTAGTACTATGACCTTGGACAAAGTCACTTAACTTTCCAGGCCTCAGTCACCTTGTCTCTAAGTTGGGATAATACCACCTCAGAGGTTGCTGAGATTTGATAATTTTAATGAAAGTGCTTTGAAAACTACAATGCTATAGAAATACTGGCAACAATTTCCCTTAGGTGGGTCTTACTTAGAGAGTCTCTAGGCTCATGTCTTTTTTAAAATAAAAAATGATTGTGGTACAGGAACATCAGTGAATTAAAACACTGATTTGAAACCCTGGTTACCTATGAGAATCACCCAGAGAACTCTTGAAACTAAGATGCCTGGGCCATATCTCCCCAGAGGTTCTGATTCAACTGGTTTGGACTTTAGGATAGGGCACTTAATGGTTTAAAGTCTCCTCTGGATATTCTATTGTAATTACAGTTTGGATTAGAAACAGTGTATTAAAGAAGAAAGTAGATAAATGATCTTATTATGAAACAGTTCACCTCACCTTAAAATCTAAAGCATTTCCTCCATGCATCACTACTTGGGGCTAGGGAACAAAGCACCAGAAAGTTCTGGATTTTCCAGACCGAAGGAATTCCAGAACAGATCCCATAGACTCTGCTTGTCCTCCTTGGCTTCTCTGGGGTGAGGTGTGTGGCAGCTGCATCTTGATAACCAGAGTTGTACACTCCCTGGAGTAGGACTAGGAGTGTTTTCATGCACACAAAACAGAATCTCATTTGAGGGCTGCAATTAGTAGGCTCCTTGAAGTCCTTGAAGCCAGAGGCAGTCTTTTTTTTTTTTTAAAGAGGAATAGAGGGAAAAAATTGATTTGTTGTTCCTCTTACTTATGCATTCATTGGTTGATTCTTGTATGTGCCCTGACACTGGGGATGGAACCTGCCACCTTGGCGTATTGGGACAACACACTAAACAGTTGGGCTACCCAGCCAGGGCCAGAGGTAATCTTGCATTCATTTTTGAAATTCAGGACTTACCTATAGCACTGGCACATTTATTATGTCTGTGCTTAATAAATTAATAATAATTGAGTATTTGACCTAGGTATTGTGCAAAGTGTTTCCATATTATCTAATTTAATTTTGCAACACTTCTGAAAGGTAGACAATGAAATATAGAGGCTTAGTTAGATAAAGACACTTGCTCAATACAGAGATCTGAGTGGCTGGAGCTGGGATTTGATCCATGTTTGCCTAAAAATTCCCTACCTTTGATTAGAAGTGAGATTTTTTTTTTCTATCGATTTAGAGAGAAAGGAAGAGAAAGGGAGAGAGAGAGTGAGTTGTTGCTCCACTTGTTTATGCATTCATCGGTTGTCTCTCGTATGTGTCCTGGCCAGGGATTGAACCTGCAACCTTGGCATACAGGGATGACACTCCACCCAATGGAGCTATTTGGCCAGGGCAGAAATGAGATTTTAATACAGAGAAAATCCGGAGTTCCAAGCCTCTTCATGGCAACTCCGCCACTTCTCTTCAGGGTCTAGGCTTTATAGGTTGAAATTCCTTCCTTTTGACAATAGTTGAAATTTTGAGATGGTGATAGTCCTTGAAACCTGCAATTTCTTTGACCTCATTACTTCCCAGCCCCATTCTCATCCATGTGCTTCAAATTTCTCTCCTTTGGTGTTTCATACAGGGTTTCATCTTGATTTCCTAATTTAGTTTATTTAGTGTTAGCTTATTCTGGCTAAACTTTATTTTTTAAATTTTTATTTATTGTTTTTAGAAAGAGAGTAGGAAGGAGAGAGAAACACCAATTTGTTGTTGTTCCACTTATTTATGCATTCATTTGTTGATTCTTGCATGTGCCCTGACCCAGGGATCAAACCACTGCCTTGGCATATTGGGACCATGCTCTAACTGACTGAGCTACCTGCCCAGGACTTCTGGCTAACCTTTAAATTCCTTTTAGCCAGCGTTGATTTAACAGACTCTGTTATATTAAGAAATTAAAGTAGCTTTGGAAGTGAATACAAGTCCTGTACTGGCTACTATTGTCACCAGGGCACAGTCATTAAGCATTTCCTGAATACCGACTGTATGCAGGCATCTTGCTAGGCACTGGGTCTCACACCACTTGGAGCTTATAGAACTTAAGCCTAGTTGGGAGAGATGGAGAAAAATAAATAAATCTATTTCTTAGTAGTGGCTTGGCTGCTACGGAGTTGATTTAAATAAGTTATTGAAACAAAGTTTATATGATGTGGTTCCTACAGCCCATTAAAACAAAAAAAAATGTGTAATGAGGTTGGTATTTATAAATACTAGATTGGTGTTTCTTTATGAAGGGCAATGTGAATATCCACTGCCACAGTAATCACATTTATACAATGACATGTTTGGTTTACAGTCAAGCTGTTTATTTTTCTGCCCTCTTGATAAAAGTCACCCTTTAACAATATAATTAAGCTGAATGCCAAGCCATAGCTTTCAGCTATAAACTTTCCTTTTACCATTAAGCAAGTGAGCTCACCCAGTGAGTTTTTGCCATTGTAATTTACCTCTGTTGGACCACACAATATGCAGGTAGCTGGGAGAAAGAAGACTTGCTCCATTCTGAAGTTAGCTTTGTTAGGTTTACTTAGCTACTTTTTAAGGCCAAAGTAAAGTTTCCTCTACCCTTCTAAGCATTCATTTTCTTTAATACTGGAAACTTTTTTTTATTCGGTTGTCAAGTGATCTTACACTGAAATATTTTCCTTTGTAGTTCTTAACTAGCCAGGCATTACAATACACCACTGCTGATGTCATCTATGATGTCATGAGAGTGTCGGCCATCAACATCACAGACCACAGACTGGGCAGTCCCCAGGATCTCTGTAATGGTTCCACAGAGTTCTCTAGCTAAACATCAGGGCTGCATCTCTCAAGCAATGTGGACAATCTCACCAAAAGAGATATTTCCACTGTACTTAGTTGTTTTTTTTCTTCTTTCTGTCTTGTGGTGATTTTTTGAGGGCTTTGATGATCAGAGCAGAGGAAGAAGGTACTGCCTCAATCTGGGCCAGTCTGTTCTGAATGATCAGTTTCACTGCACTCCTCGGACTCTTCCAGTCTAGTCACGGATTGCTCGCTTTGGTGATGTCATCACCAAACTTTTTTTTTTATCCTCACCCAAGGACATTTTTTCATTACTTTTTAGAGAGAGAGAGAGAGGAAGAAGGAGAGAGAGTGAGAGAGAGAGAGCGATCTGAGAAACATCTATTTGGTTGTCTTCTTAGAGATGCCCTGACTCGGGGATCAAACCTGTATGAGGGAGACCCCAACCCATGGAGTTCTTCCAGTTGCAGATGAAGAAATGAGTTGTCCCAGACACAATTGGTTTGGTGGGAAAGGGAGTGGCAATTCCCTCTAGTGGAGAATGCCCTGAATCCTTCCCTGAATTGGCTTTTATTGGAATCAGTATGTGCAGGGATATACATTATGCATGCAAAGCGTATCAACCAATGCCTAAAGGCTATATTTGTAGACAACAGCTATGGTTCATAGATAACAATTAAAGTAACACAGGGATTTGCCTCAGGTCAGGGTCTGGTAGACATGCTGACACCAGATGGTCATTAAGGCATGGCTCCTGAATTCAGGAATTCACTCCTTTTGTTTGGAGCTTAAACACCTAGTTTATATTAAAACAGCTATACAAAGCACAGCAAGCTTCAAAGGGTATAATGAATTCTTCAGGCCTGATTTCCCACGGGAACCCTCGGTGTTAGCATTGGATCATGCCTGCTGCCAGCATTCCCGGTGTTCCGGTCAAGACTTACAGGCCTCTTTCAAGGCCTTGCTTGGGTGGGGCTACAGTTTCTGATACCACACAAAGTAGTCCCCAACACCTGTAACCTTGACTTGTGCCCTCAATGGGAATTGAACCCTCAACCTTTCCATCTATGAGATGATACTCCAACCAACTGAGCCCATACCAGTCAGGGCTCATCACCAAACTTTTTTGTAGACAGACCGTGGGGCCAATCTTGGGGGCCAGGGAAGACATGACACCAACTTCCCCACCAATGCACTTCAGAAATAGGACTTTGATCTCATTGGGGTGGAACTTCGATGGCATGTTGTCAGGTGAACCTGGCTTCAGAAGGACTGAAGAAAGTTGCACCTAAGTCTCCTCTGACCCAAAGGCCAAAAGAATACTGGGAGTTTTTATTTCTGATAGGGAATACCACTACGGAAGTTTGTCCTTGGCATTCCTTGGAGGCTGCTTTTGGGATCAGCATACTTCCCAATGAGCACATGTGGTGTAGATTCAGAGAAGGTACTTCATCTTGAGTCTTGTCTTGGAAGGAGGGTGATTGAGGGTTCATCAGCTTCCCACACACAGGGAGGTAAACATATCCTTTGGGACTTGATTGGAGTCACTTCATCTGATGTTCATTATAACGTCTCCATTACCATTTGGCAGAATGTTAGTACTAGTTAGACCTGAAGAATAAGATTTTACTCAATGTGAGTCTTCCCTTAAAAAGCAGATTCTCTGTATTCCTTCTTCTCTTGCTGAATAATACCCTTGTAGCAGCCAGGGTTGTTTATTGCAAGCAAAAGAACTGTTCTGTTAAGGCACTGAATTTAGAACATTGAGTCTGACAGAATTGCCAGAAAGGCTGGAGAGCCAGGCTTGGAAAATGGTGAAAACACGGAGACATGTACAACTACCCCTGGAAACTGGGTGTGCTCCTTCTGCCTCTGCCTCTCCTGCTCCAGGTTCAGTGACCCAGGTGGGAGTGTCCAGTGGCTGAATCTAGTTTACATGTCCATGCCCTAGTTGCTAGTGGTAGGGAGGTGAGTGCAAATGAATAATTGGTCTTTTTTAGCATCCCATTTTGAGGTCCAGGAGCTTACTGTCAAGTCGTGGTTCTTTTCCCATCTGCTGTGGACTCAGGAGCTCCATGCTTTACCATCACATTTCCCTCCCTGCCCTAAGTAAGAGACCTAGCTGTCAAATCCCTTTGAACCAACATATTTTTCTGTATACACATCTTAAGCTTAATTAAAACATACTAATTGTCTGAGGTTTCATGCAAAATTATTTGCTCAACCAATACTCTACAAGGGCCAAAACTTAAATGAAAGACTTGATATTTAATATGGTCAACTTACTGTGGAGGGCACGGAAAAAGCCAGGCCAGTGTAATGGAAAAAGTAGGCCATTTATTCATCATTTAGTGTAAGTGGATTATTCTTTAAGAGTAATAGCCATTCTTTTTATTTGAAACACATCATTAGAATTCTAAAGAAGTCTTCAGTCATAGATGGTATAACTTCTGTCACACCAAAGACTTCAGAAAGGCTATGAAAACATGACATATCTATCATTGCACTGTTATAAGAAACATCTTGCATGCGTTCATTATTATGCAAAGGTCATTTATATCACTGAGGTGGTCATTTTTTTTAAAAAAAGATGTTATTTATATATATTTTAGAGAGTGTAAGGGAGAGAGAGCTACATCAATTGATTGCTTCTCGTACGCATTCCAACCAGGACTGAACCTGCAACACAGGGATGTGCCCTGACTGGGAATTGAACCTGTGACTTTTCACTTTGTGGGATGATGCCCAACCAACTGAGCCACACTGGTCAGGGTGAGGTGGTCATTTTTATTAAATAAAGACTGACTCTTGGTTTTGGTTCAAAATGAAGCAACAATGTGAACCCATGAAATGAAACATCTCACAATAAAGCCCAAAATGGTATGTTCCCTTTAAACCATTATCTTATTTTTGCTGCTATTTTTTTTCCTTTTTTAGGTGATGTTCTGATTAGTGTTGGCCATGCCAATGTGTTAGGATATACTCTTCGAGAATTTTTAAAGCTTTTGCAACATATCGCCATAGGAACAGTGTTGCAAATAAAGGTGTATCGAGATTTTATTGACATACCCCAAGAATGGCAAGAAATATATGATTTAATCCCTGAGACCAAATTCCCAATAACATGGTAAGTAGTTTTAGAAATCTTTGTTATACTACAGAATTCTCTAGGGTTTATGAAGCCTGGCATCTTGGTTTAATGTGAATATTATCAAATGGACCACGGTATAAGGGATTGGTGACACTGCCAGAATGATGTCCTGGGTTTCTAAATCCTTTTTAAAAGAATAATCTGCAGGAAAGAACATCAGGAAGAATGTTAAAGACAAGAGCCTTGAACCTGGAGTTAATAAAAGGAATAACTATCCCACAGGAACTCTGTCCATGCAACATGTCCCCCTTTCCAAAGTCAGCCCTTAAACATGTGCTGGGGATCCCATTCCCTCAGTTGTCTCCTGTATATTCAGCTGCTCTCTCCGGATCCTTCCCAGTAACATTTAAGCCTGTGAAAGCTTCTATCTATCATCTTAGCAAAACCCACCTGAACTCCACTCTCCTTTCTCTGTCCCTCTGGCACTGCCCTGTGCCTGACTCCAAACTTGTTGGAAGAGCTGTGCAGTATTAGACATCACCATTTCCCAGGCACTCCTGAGCCCGTGTTAATCTGGGCCTTGTTCTCATAACTTGGCTGAAGTCTTTCCCAGGTCCTTCAGAACCTTCATACTGCTTATTCTGTGGCTCTTCTCATCTTTATTTTGCTTGGCTTCTAAGAATTAGACACTTCACAAATTTCCAACCTCACTGTTGTTGAAACAGCACCTTCCCCTGGCTTTTGTGATACCCATTCCCCTAATTTTCCTATGACTTCTAGTCACTTCCTCTTGGCGTTTTAGCCAGACTTGGAGTTTCTCAAGGTTTATTCTTTGGCTCTCTCCTCTCAATCTCCTGGGCAATCTCAATAATGCCTTTTGTCTCTATTACTATCCATACATTAAAAATTTTCAAATTGTTTTTCATCTTCTAACTTGTGTATTTAAACACTCCCTTGGTAGCTCCCTTTGGATATATCATTAACTCTCAAACTCATTATGTCTAAAATCAAAAGCCAGATCACCTCTAATCTTCAAGTGGCCCTGTCTTCCTGCGGCAATGTCTGCCTAGTCGAACAAGTCAGGAATTTTGGTGCTGTACTTGATTTTTCTATTTCCCTTGTCTTCCCTCTTCCCCCTCAGCCACTATGACTTGTCATTTACCTTCCAACCACCTCCCACATTTGTCCACCTCCCTGGCCACTACCATCACCCCAGTCAAAGCCACCCTTTTGTTTCCCTGCATCTACTCTTATTCCCTATTCATTATCTAAACATCCCTATTCATTATCTAAACAGAATGATTCTTTTACAATGCAAATCAGATTGTGTCTTGCCTTCCAATCTTTAGGACCTTCTTTTGTTCTCAGGATAAATGCCCAAATTCTTACACTGGTTTGTGCTCCCATGACTTGGCTGGTATCTCTACACTGCTCCAGCCTCACCTCACATGGCTCCCCTTGCCTCTAGTCCACTTTGGCTTTCAGTTCTTTTACCTGATGTTGCTCTTTGTCTTGGGGCCTTTGCATGTGCTTTTTGTCTGTCACATGCTTAGGACCCTGTCATGACTCTTCCTTGAAGGTTCCTAGTCCCCAGTAACCCCAGTAACTAAATCAATTATGATCTGATTAAAAATCATTAATGATAACAGCATACACTTATTCACTGCTTACAATGTGATGGGTACTATTTATAAGATTATACCACTTAATCGTCATGCAAATTCTTTTTTATAAATTCTCACCAAAGTTATATATTTTTAAAAAAATTATTTTAGAGAAAGAGGAAATGAGGGAAGGAAAATGGAAGGGATGGAGTGTGTGTGTGTGTGTGTGTGTGTGTGTGTGTGTGTGTGTAGGGGAGAGAGAGAGAGAGAGAGAAAGAGAGAGAGAAAGAAACATGGACATACGAGAGAAACATGAATCAGTTGCCTCCTGTACACTCCCTGACCAGGAATCAAATCTGCAACCTTTTTGGTTCATGGGATGATGCTCCAACAAATTGAGTTACCTGGCCAGGGCCATGCCAATTTTTTAAAATTACCATTTTATAGATAAGAGAACTGAGGCCACGAGAAGCATATATAAACTTGCCAGAGATCACAGGGGTAAGTGGCAGTGGTTTGTCTCCAGAGCAGCCATGTCCAGTAAGAACTTTCTGCCGTGGTAGAAATGTTCTGTATCTGTGTTGGCCTGTATGGTAGCCACCAGCCACATGTGGCTATTAAGCACTTGAAATATGAGGATTTGCAAATGAACAATTGTAAATTTTATTCATATTTAATCAGTTTAAATTTATCAGCCACACAGTGTTGGCGGACCTTGTACTCGGGAGTGTCACTCAAGCCTGAGCTCTTAACTGCTTGCTTATAAAAATCTATGTTCTAACTAAGCATTTCAATTACAGAGTTTGAGATTCAGAATATTCAAATCTAAGGATGACAGATTTACTGTTCAAAAACAAAGAAAAGATAAACACAGAATATCACAACTTAAGTACGAGGCTGAAACTCACAAACTTAAGCAAAAGGCCAGGCATGGTCTGACTCCCTTTCTTAAGCAAAGGGCTTGTATCTAAGGTGTCATGGTAATTTCTGTGAAGAGGACAGTGAAGGAGGCCAGGAAGGGGCAGAAAAGGGAAGAAAAGACTTCTTTCATAAAAGTTGGTATGACCTTTTTCAGGAGCATATGGCATTGTGTGAATACTGGAGATAGTATGCCATATGAAGCTCTGGGCTGGCCTTCTGGTATAAAAATTGTTTCCAGCTAACCCCGACCTCTGCAGGCTTGTGGTTTTGTTATCTAATGCCAGTTTAATAGGAACCTGGCCCTACCGCCTGTCCCTTATGGTAACCTGATACAGAGTTATAAGGGATACCCTTTGCAGCCTGAAAAAGTAGTACCTTTTCCCCCCCTCCCCCACATCAGTGTGCTATTTAGGAAGCCCTAGGCATGATGAAGGCATATTATTCTAGTTCTTAGATCTTTTGGATTTCCTTGCACAACACTAAATCAGGGCTCAAAGAAAACTACACAATTTAAGACCAGTGGCTCTCAGTAAAAATGACTCAGCATTAATTGTATATCACCAGGAGAGAGAAAGTTTAGGGCACAGATAGAGCAGTATTCAAAAGTTCAAGAGGCCTGGACCTGACTGGTGTGGCTCACCTGGTGGGGCATCATCCTGCAGGGCAAAGGATTGCCATTTTGGTTCCTGGTTGGGCACATCCCTGGGTTGAGGGGCAGTACCTGGTTGCGGTGTGTGCAAGAGGCAACCAATCGATGTTTCTCTCGCACATCGATGTTTCTCTCCCTCTCTTTCTCCCTCTCCTCCCCTATCTAAAAAATAAATACAATCTTTTTTTTTTTCTTTTTAAAAAAAGAGGCCTGTAACTGCTAGCTGGCAAGCATTACCCAAGTTTCAACAATCATGAAAGTCAATAGTTGAGGCAAGTTACAAAAAAATCTTTAAAAATTTTTGGACAGCAACAGAGAGGTGCAATAGTGAATGACAAAACACATCTGGGTAGAAGAGTATTCTATAAATCCACGTTTGTAAACCCGAAAGAGAAGCAAAGAATGATGGTCAGGAGAAAAAAGTAAGACTCACAGTTTCCCATGACTAGCATGTTAAAGGTCTTTGAAGCCCACTATTTCCCAACTCCTCTGGAAATTGGTGATATTCTGTTATTTCTGATACCTGGGGACCCATGAATACAGATTTTATGGAGGAGGTGGCCAGGTTTTGGCCTGTCATTCTGGGTAGAGTGAAGTTAACTCTCCCTTTAAGGCCTGCTAATAAATCAGATCAGGTGTCAGACTTAAGTCTGTGCAAAGGTTTTTAAAAGTAACATGGAATAATTTCTGTCAGTTTATTTACACTTAGGAATGGAAAAAAATTTACAGATACTTTTAGAAAAGAGAAAAATGTCAACAACCTATAAAAGGCAGCACTAAAGTTAAATTGTATCCTTTCTTATATGTGCCAAAACCAATGATAAGAAATTAAGAATCCTTTTCATTTACTATTCTTTTATTTTCAGTGCAACAAAGAAAACTGAGCAGGCAAAAGATGACTCTCTCACAAGCACTGATGACAAGGAAGATGTAGTTTTCAATAAAAAATTTAAGTATTATAAATCCTCACAGTCCATTGGACATCGTCCTGCAAGGAGACCCATGTCAATCTCCAGAGAATGGCACGAATATAAAAAGAAGAACCAGATTATCAGCGTAGGAACAGACATTAACTGTGATGTCATGATTCATAGGGACCACAAGAAAGAAGTGAGAGCCCCTTCCCCATACTGGACAATGGTGAAGCAAGACAAAGACAGCTCTTCCTCCTCCTCAGCCTCAGATGCATTCTGGCTGGAAGACTATGCCCAAGTTGAAAAGGGCGAGGGTCAAACTGCATCAAAAGTTGGTTAGTAGTTTGCAAATCTGTGATCACAGGAGCATTTCTCGGGAAAATATCCAATTTTTTGTGCACTGCCTCATACAGCTTTGCTATATTTACAGGAATATGTGCAGACTTAACCAATTTTTACACAGTTGTTATGAAGCCTTTAGGCCTTCTTCAACATGATATCCAAGACTTCCCTGAGTGGCACAAGAGCTCTCACAAATTTTATTCTTAAAACAGCAGCCATCACTCAGTCATTAAGACCCATCTGAGAAAAATGTCTCATCTTTTAGAAGATACAGCAGAGCAGCTTAATATCAGAATATAAGGACATAGTATAGAATTTCACTTTTTAAGGTAAGTACCATATTGTTATTTAGATATTTAGTTTCCCTTCTTTTGCAAACTTCAAGTGCCCTACTTAAAAGAAATAATAGATATTTTTGGCTAGTTCATATTAGAAATTTTTTTCCTTTTCTGCTCCACTTTCACCCTGAATGTTGGATTCATAGGTAATTACCATATTTTGCCATATAGTTTACTCCCGTGTATAATGTGCACCTACGTTTTTGGCCCAAATTGTCAGGGAAAAAAATCTTTCATAAAATATTTTTGAAAATTATTTATTTATATTTACTTACTTGTGTAAGTAAATAAACTATTTATATTTAGATACTTTTTTTTGTATTATAAAGGAATTTTAGCATTTATTTTTGAACATATTATGGTACAAGAAATTTTATGTAACAAATAATTACAAAACACAAGAATAGATATGTTATTTCAGGTACTACCCATGTATAATGCACATCCTTATTTTCCCTCAAAAATTTGGGTACAAAAAGTGTGTGTTATACTTGGCAAAATACAGTACTTGAAAGAGACAGGATAGAAACAGATGAGGGAGAGGGAGAAGGTAGGAGAAAACAAAGCTCTATCACAGAGAAGATAAAGCAGATATACAAAATGAAGCAGTGCAAATACAGAAAACAACTGATAGGGAATTTATGTTTTTCAGAAATAACTCTATTGCAAGAGGGAGATAAACCCCAGACCATTTAATTGTTCTTATCCAAAATGAGATTTTTAACTGCTTTTATCTTTCTTTTTTGTTGTTGGTCTTTTGTCATCATGTTGAACAATTTCTTTTTTTAAATTATATTTTATTGATTATGCTATTATACTTGTCCCAACTTATTCCCCTTTGCCCCCCACCACCCAGCACTCCCTACTCCCTCAGGCAATCCCCACAGCATGGTTCCTGTCCACAAGTCATGTGAATAAGTTCTTTGGCTACTCCATTTCCTATACTGTACTTTACATCCCCATGGCTATTCTGTAATTACCTATTTGTACTTAATCCCCTGACCTCTTTATCCATTCTCCTCCTCCCCACCCTTTCATCTGGCAACCATCTGGTAACTACCTTCTTTTCTCTTGCCGCTTTGACTGAGTCTCTGTTTACCTTTGGCCTTTGGTCTTTTAATTATGATGTGTCTTGGAATGGGCCACCTTGCATCCACCTTGTTTGGGACTCTGTGCTTCCTGGGCTTGCATGTCTATTTCCTTCACCAAATTTAGGGAAGTTTTCTTTCACTATTTTTTCAGGTAAGTTTTCCAATTTCTCACTTTTTCTTCACCTTCTGGCACCCCTATTATGTGAATGCTGGAATGCTTGAAGTTGTTGCAGACTGCTTACACTATCCTCATTTTTTTGGATTCTTTTCTCTTCTTGTTCTGATTTTTGGCATCCTTTATGTTCCAAATCATTGATTGGATTGTCGGCTTCATCCACTCTACTGTTGTTTCCCTGTAAAGTGCTTTTTTAATGAGTGTACCCTTCATTTCTAACTGGATCTTTTTTATGCTGCTGAGGCCGTTACTAAGTTCCTTGAGCATCCTTATAACCAGGGTTTTGAACTCTGCATCTAATGGATTGCTTATCTCCATTGTGTTTATGTTCTTTTTCTGGAGTTTTGATCTTTCATTTGGACCATGTTTCTTTGTCTCTTCCTGTTGGCAGCCTCCGTGTTTGTTTCATAGAAATAATGCATTAGGTAGAGCTGCTATGACACCCTGTCTTGGTAGTGTGGCCTAATGTAGTAGGTGTCCTGTAAGGTCGAGGCACAGCCTCCCCTCTCACTCAAGCTGGGTACTCATGGTGTGCCATTTGTGTAGGCTGTACACCTTCTTGTAGTTGAAATTTGGTTGCTGTTGGCATGTCAATGAAGGGTTTACCCAGACCAGTCAGCTCCAAGGAGTGGCTGTGACTACTTACCACCACCCTTTGCCCTCCATGGAGAACCAGATGTGCAGGGGCTGGGTGGCAGTGCTCCAATGTGGTCTGTAGCTGCCCACTGGGTGCACAGGTTCTGCGGTTTCCCAGGTGGTACAGGCCAAGGTCAGCCCCTACTTGTTTTGCCTGGGGCCACCCTGCCTGAGGTACAAAGCAATCTGAAATGCTGCTACTTAGGCAGGGCTTGGAAATTCCCAGGTAAAGCAAACCCAGGGCCACTAAGCAAGAGGTGTGGGGGAAGGGAGCTCACTAAAGGGGGCTGTTGCTTGAGCGCACTTAGGAAGTTGTGAAGCATGAATCAAGACCTGCCATTCATACAAAATAGCTAATGTTAAGAGCTTTAAGTTGGGTGGGACAGAGCCTGAGGGTATCCCCAGGGCAGGGCAGTGTTAGCCAGGTTGTTGGGAGTCTCCGATATGGAATCTGCCTGCCAGCTCTGTGTGGAGAGGGGTACGTTTAGGTAAGTGACAATGGCTGCTGCCTGTGTTGAAGAAAGTTGACCCCTAGCTCTCACCTTCAGTTCTAGAAACTTCAGTTCATCTGTGTATGCCACTGGTGCCTCTCACTTGCTACCTCAGTGCTAGAGCTGAGGGAGTGAATCTGAGTAGATGAGAATGTGTGTGGGTTTTTAAGGGGAACTGCTTGGCACTCCAGAAGCTTCTTCCACCCACTCAGTCCCTGCTAGTTTTTGCACAGAAGTAATGGGAACTTACATTTCTGGCACTGGAACCCTGGGCTGGCAGTCTAGTATGGGGCTGTGACTCTACTCCTGAGATATCCCTTCTGAATTTCTATCCACCTTACATGAATGCAGGACCAGCCCGTTCTACATCTCCACCCTTCCTACCAGTCTGGATGGATGTGGACTCTTTAATTCCGTAGTTGTCAGACTTCCATTCAGCTTGATGTGACAGTTCTCAGTGATGGTTGTTCTATACTTTAGTTGTAATTTTGATGTTATTGTGTGAGGGGAGCCATGATTACCTATGCTGCCATACTGACCATAAGTCTCTGCTTTTACCTCAAAGAGCTACCAACAACAATAGCCTGGAAATATTTACTAATAGCTACTCAGATTTAATTTAAAAGTGTCTCATGTTATATCCTGTTCTCCTTCACTGCATCTAAAAGAAAGATGTCTGCAGATAATACATATTTGTTGATTATCTGACTAGAAAAAAATGCAAGAAAACGCTTACAAGTATTTTATTGACGTTAGGTTGGCTGGAAACAATGACCTGCATTTATATTTTTTAGGATTATCTCATCTCATTGAAAAAAAAAAGATAAATTTTACATTATAGACTTGTGACTTTCATGTAGTTGCTGCTCTGGGTTTAGAAAACATCCAGCTCTTTCTGCCATGTTTCAGTATTACAGCTCATCAACAAAAGGTGTATGCCCCAAATTTCCACTTGCTGCCATTGACTTCTTGCCAGAAACAAATTTCTTTGCAGCCTTTAAGTAAACAAACAAAAGGTAGAAAGTTAAAAGAAATAAGAACATGTATTATCAAGTAATTTAACTTAATTTATTGTTATTTCATGAGTTTATGGACAGGCTACTCTAAGCCAGCAATTCTGTAACAGCCTCTTGTAAAAATTAACTACAGGAGAGGGCTAGTGTTATTTTAATTTGATGAAAAGTTCAGCTCTTCCTTTGAGTATCCCATCATATGTGTGACTGAGCAAGTGCGGTGCTGGGTATGAGGGTAGCTGTTACAGAGGGGGAGAAGGAAAACCTCACTGACATTGCAAAATAGGGTGAAGTTGGCCTCCTGCAGGGCTGTTACTTTCCGATTTCTGTATTCCCATAGCATATAGTCCGAGTTAATAAAAATACACTGACTGTTAACTTAAAAGTCAAATTTTCTTAGTATTCTTTATGCCACAACTTCAAGTTCAAAGGCTGGTTGGTTAAGGGTAATACTGTAAGTATGGGCCCCCACATTATCTCGGGCCACCTTTTTTCAGTGCATGGTGGCGGTAGCAGCTTGGTTGGGACTCACATGGTAGTATACAAGATGAGGACACACATTTGGAAGAGTGTAATAAACTTTGGGCCAAGTGAAATTATGTCAGGGTTACTCCTTAAATTATACTGTCTTTTTTCTGTCCTCATTGTTCCTATACAAGATAGACATGTTGTCAAGATGGTTGAGACCTCTACAATAGAAGGGCAGCTGGCATTTTTAATATAGAAAGGGCTAGAAAAACCTACTGATTTTGGATTTCTCTGTAATTCATGTACTTGTTAGGAACGGTATGGAATACACAGAGGAAGTACAACATATATTACTTGCCCTCAAAACAACTCATCTTGTAGGAAACAATAATATATGTGAAAAAATAGAGCAAGAGCAGGAGAATGTCTTAGGCTGAGAAGACAAGAAAATCTTGAGATGCTGGATTATGAGGGACTGGCAAAATAGACTTTATTTCTTGGGAGTGAAAAGGAAAACACCCAAACTTGACTATTAGTTTGAATCACAAAATTGCCAATATTCAATTCTTCTTGACCTGTAAGAATTTACAGTGGTTTAACTTAATCATAATTTAGTTGAATGAGGAAGATACACAAACCCTTAGTTGATAAGGAAGCTATTTGCAGATCTGATGGTAATCAGATCTGATGGTAATCAGCTCACCTGCCTCCACACCAGATAGATAGGCACCAAACAGCACAAGAATAACATATACAGCCAAGGAAGCTTATGCATTCCTTCTGAAATTGGATCATTAAGGTCAAGTTATTTGATGTTAAATCATAAGTTTTCATTTGCTTACATTTATGACATCAGCATCAGCTACTGAATCAATCTGCTGAAGGACTGTGGATGGTGGTATGTACGAACCAGCAACGAGGGCCTGAGACCCGACTTCATCCAGGAAACCCTCAGAAGACTCCACTGACATTAGATACCCAGCCTTCAGCTTGTTCCTGTCCAATTCAAAGTGCATAACTAAGAAGCCAGTTTTACAGAGTAAGGCAATTTATTAATATGTTCCCAAACTCTCAAATATGTATTGGTAAATATGCAAATTAACTGCTTTGAAATCTTATACTGTTAAAGGCTTCCCTTCTACTTCTTCAGCTCACCAAGTATTTTATTATTTACATTAATTTAGTAGTTAATACAAGAAAAAACAAAAACACCAACAGGTTACCTTTTGATTTTGGACTGGAACTGAGATCTAGTTAAACCTATTTTAGTGTAAATATTTGATTAGTGAAATAATTCCTGTCTCTTGATACTTTCTTGGTGTTAATTTTAGGTACTTCTATAAAAGAAAAATAACTATATGAGCTCTTAAAGCATTGTCCACTTAGAATGTTGTGTGCTAATTTTATAGCTATTCCTCTAACCCCAGCCCCATTTCTGTGCTGGGATTTGTCTCACTGAGGGTAGAAAGTGATGGAGAAGCAGGTGGGTAAGCCCCAGTAGCTTTAACATGGACATAAAAGCATCAGTTTCAAATAAAATAATACCCAATTCTAATTCTCCCAGAAAGAAACTGGTGTCTAATACGGCATCTGAGTTACTTAACTCTTAAATTATCCTCTTTTGGTAGTAGGCTGTAGCAAGACTTCCATTTACACATAATTAAAATTGTATGTAGCAATTTTACCGAATTGTCAGCTTAATTAACGCAAGATTTTACCTGCAATAAACTTTATTAAAAGATTATTGGTTTGTCCCTTCAGCACTGACACCTTAGTTTCTCTCTTTCACTACAAGACTAAGAATTCTATAGGAAAAAGTATCAACTCCATCCAAATGGCAAAAAAACAAAAACAAAAAACATACTTGACATTAATAACTGAAACTCCATTTTCTACATGTTGCTGTACCTTATAAAAACTGTCACACTTATTAAAATACATTTTCTTAAATAAATTAGCCTTGAAACAGAATTTCCTTAAATAAATCCAGTGTTTCAATTTGTTCTCACCATGTTTTGTTTCTGGTACAATCACAGAGTTATACCCTATTAACCCTTGGATCCATGGATACAATATTTAATAAACTGTGCTGTCAATATTCAAGAGAGGCAATTTCTCAGTGTGTTCAGTATTTAACCAAAGTAATAAAACAAATGGGAATAGGAATGACCAATTGGTTATTCCCTCCTGGCTTATACTTCAGTCATACTTGCCATGTGGGCAACACTTAATTATCATGAAGACCAAGTTTCAGGATTCACATTGTGAACTGTCATCAGTGGATGGAACCAGAGTTAAATGTTTTAAACTGCTGTATGAAAATTAAGCTGATTTCCAACTCTGACCAAAGTCTCTCCCTTTTAGTTAAGAGAAAATCCCAGAACTACTGAGTTAGAAGTGTTGTTAGTACTTTCAATGAGGACAGTGGGAATTTAAAAGTCACTACATAGGTGATGAGTATTTAAATATTTTAATTAGGTATCTTTTTTTGGTCTATCACATTAGTGAAAAGAAAAATAAATTGCTAATGATTATGGTAGAACAGGCACTTATATACTGGTGGTATGATTATAAACTGGTATAAACTTCTTACAGTGTGATTTTGAATTATAAAAATAAGAATATTATATAAACAAACACATATATTTTAAAGTGGAGCCTTTCATTATAATGTTTAAAAGTCTTAACCTAGCTGAGAATCCATACCAAGAAATTAATATGAAATACAAATGTTTTAAATGCAAAGATATCTTTTAGTTTATAATTTCTGATTGCATGAAGTATCCACTAAGTATATTTTGATACACCAATTAATATTGTATAGGACAAATTTTTAGTAATCTGAATAAACAGAAACAATGTTACAAACAGGAATCACTGGGAATGATTTTTTTTAATTTTCAAATTTCTACAATAAACATGACATTAAATAGGATATAAGTTTATATACAATATTAACAATTATGTTTAAAAATGCATGAAAATGGTCAAGCAAACAAGCAAAATGTTAACAGCTATATCTCTACATGGTAGGATATGGGTATGTTTCCCTTTCTTTTTATATACTTTTCTGTATCTTTCAATCCTTTTGTACATATATTACAATAATGTTGTAACTACAAAAAATATAACTTTCAAATAACTGAAACACAAAACACACAGCTAATACTGAAACTTACTTGGCAGCCTGGACATCTGTATTGGAAAGGTTTCCCTGAGCAATTGTTTTTACTTGGTTGTAGGCAGCCTTGATAACCTAGGACAGACAATGAAAAGCTGGTCATCTCTGATCAGTGCCAGAGTCTTCTGCAGCAATTAAATGGTGCTCTAAGGCAAAAACACAAGATGGAAGGTTAGTTCCAGAGAAAGAGGAGAGTGTCCATTTGGATGGAGTTATCAAGTCAGTATGTGTTCCTTATTCTTCTAATATTCCATCGTGCAATTGTTTGTACAACTTACAGTATCTGAGTAGCAAGGATTCTTACAAAAATAAGTGGCACATGATGGCAGGGAGGTTTAGGAAAAGGCAACATGGATTTATGATCACCTATAATGAATAAGCACCTCTAAAATTTTTCCAGCCTTTCAAAGCATCATGCAATTAATATTGCTAGTTCTTACTATTCACTGAGAAGTAAGCAGTAATTCATTCAGCCAATTTAAATCTTGTCAATACTGGGGACTGGAGTCAAGAAGGAATCAAGTTCCAGTAATGTGGGTGAGCACTTGGTAAATATTTGTTGACTAAGAAATTAATAAACCTGGCCCATGATTTTCTCCACCCCAACCTTGGCATCATTCTGGGTCTGCTACCTAATGTTTCTCCTAATCACCTAAATTCTAGGACCTTCATTTTCCCTCCATTTCAGCTACTCAGATCCATAGCCGTACCCCAGACTTGGCCATAACCTAGATTTGCCCTACCCCTGAAATCCTTAATTCTAAGATCCCTGGCCTAAATCTTAAATCATGCTGTCCTTATTTTTCCACTTTATCAAGATCACTAGTTCCTTGGTTTGTTTCAATTTGAGGTCCCTCTGGCTTCACTTCTCTGTCTAGCCTAGATCCAAAAATATTCACTCTATCACTCTTGTCAGTGTTCCCAACTCCCTTGCTATCTCCTCATACGTCTTGACCTTCCTACTTAGCAGGACTTCAACCTGGGATCAACCCTGCTACCTGCCTCCTCAGTTAGGCTAGTGAATACTATTGAAGAAAAATTGCAAACCAGACCTGTCTGTACTGTGAATTTGTGGTGTAGATGTGTCTACACCACTGCTAATTGCTATTCTGTGTGTACCTAGCCATTTATTTGTCCCAAACCTCTCTTTTATGGTTTCTTATCTCCAATGTCTTCTCCAATTTTTCTTTTCACTATGAATGTTTCTTCCAACTTCATCCCAGTGTAAACCCTCCTAAAAATCACCACCCACCTCCCTGCATCTAAGATCCACTTGCCTATACCAACCTTGCATTTCTTTCATTTCATTCATTCCTTAACACTTTGTCATTTACTTCTAACATTCTGGTGAAAATTGGTAATATCACCGATGATGTCCTAGTTTGCTAAAACCATCAGACCTCTCATGTCAATCCAAAGTATATCAAAATGGTGTTAACATCCTCCAAATATATCAGTTTCTCTTCTTTTTCTTCCTGTTTTCTTGGTCATTTTCCTGAGTCTCTTAAAGCATACAGCATAAGGAACTTCAGTTTTCTCCTATGGTCTTTCATACAAAACACGGACTTCAACACACTCTGTATTTTGAGGATGCCCAAATACATGTATTGGCTTTGACCTCACCTGAGCTCTCAATTTAGATGTCCCAGAGAAAACTCAATGCCACTTCTCTAAACAGAACAAAAATACCAAGGCAGCATTTCCTCCCTCTTTCTGGGAAGTATTAGTATACATGTTTCAGTTTCATCCACAGCAGATATACTTCAATGATGTTACAGAGCTCTGACAGGTCATGGCATTGAAACATTTCCATATTTTAACTAAAAACATGTTAATAAGGAAAAAAGCCTTGTGAGCATTGGTGAATTTGCAACTTACATCTCCGGCAGCTGCAGCCTGTGAGATAGTGTAAATCCCAAAGAGTCCGGAATCTGAGTAACTGGCATTAAAAGCGGAAACCTGAAAAATAATGAAACTTGACTGTACATTATTCTACCAGGTAGAATGGGGCACAGTTTCCTTAACACGGTCTAGACAAAAGCTTGTATGTTCATAATATAAGCAAAATAGACTAAGATTTTGTTAACTTTCATTTTTGCTAACCTGTTTTGATGATTAAAGGTTACTGTAAACATGAATTTGTGAACACTGTCATTATAGACACAATGACTGAGTGTCATGCATTGTGGGCTTTGGCACTAGACAAACCTAAGTTCTTCCCTCTTGTTGTTGGTGACTTCCTTTTTACCAACCCACTTTCACGTCTAAAGACTAAAGTCAGAGTTAGGGGAAAATTTCTGTTTGGTGGCCATCATTCACATTCTGAAGTAGCAAAATGTTTAGCCCTGGATAACAGGGTTATTATTGTCTGAACAGTGCTAAGCTCCTTAAAGTAATGTGACTGCCCAGGATAACATTTCCCAGTATTTACATAAGGATCACCTGATTGTTATTAAGAATAGACTTTTCATTTCCTGCAACAGATTACTTAGATCTCTGTAGATACAGTCTGGGGCCCACACTTTAAACTAATATTCCAGGTGATTCTCATGTACTTTAAAATCTGAGAACCACTGGTTCAGCCCATATAAAGCCTAGAGCATTAAAAAAATGCATTTAAATTACCTGAATTATAATTCTGAGACTATCCTATTCACACTCCAAATTTCTGGCCAAATTCTGAAGTAGGAATTCCTATAATATTATGTCATTGGATTAGTATTAAACTCCAGCCACCCCAAAGTCATCATTACCATTTGATGGTAAAGAACACAGAACATGAACCAGGAGAAAGAAAATCTGGAGGAAATTTTAAAAAGCAGCAGCTGAATTTAAAAATCATTTAAAATACTGATTTTCTAACTGTGTTGCAGGGACTCCCCCAACACTCTGATGAGGATTCCAAGGGTTTCACTGTCAAGTAAACTTTCAAAACTTCTTTAAAAGAAAAAACTTTTGTGCAGGCATTATAGGTGGGAAATAGTATTGGCTAAACAAGGCTACTGTGCTAAAAAAAGTTTGAAAACTAGCACTCAGTTAACAGAGGAGTAAAAAGAGAAGGTTGATTTTAATTTCCACTTGTAAGTGTCAAATAGCCAAAGACTTACTGAAGCATAAACCTACCTGTGCCATGCACTACTGCTGAAGTTATGAATATTTAATTCTACAATTTATAGTATGTGTTACTTTTTAAAGGCATATCATTGAATGTCATGTAAGGTATAGTACACTGGGAAAACAATGGTCACTCATTAAATAATACTTTGTTGACATTTTACATTCTCTTGATTTGCATATCCTTATTTTGAAAGCTTTAGCACTTTCCTGTCATGAAAAGGTGTCTTCTCAAGTAGTATGGACTTTTTGTTATGACTAAATGTCATCACTTGTCTTCTCCTTCTATTTTTATATTCTCACCTGAGTACATGCTTATTGATTTTAGACAGGGGGAAGAGTAAGTGAGAAGCAGAGAAACATCGATGGGAGGGACATTCATTGACTGGCTGCCTGCTCGTATGCACCCTGGCTGGGAACTGAACACACAACCTAAGCATGTGCCCTGAATGGGGATTGAACCCACAACCTTTTGGTTTACAGGGCGATGCCCAACCAACTGAGCCACACTGGCGAGAGTTCACTTTCCTTTTTTAACTTAATCTCAAGCTGTAGGAATATCCTGGCGTGTATTTTGTACACCTGATTGAAATACATAAAGAACAGCCCCAGATGGTGTGGCTCAGTGGATTGAGTGCCGGCCTGCAAACCAAAGGGTTGCCTGTTGGTTCTCAGTCAGGGCACATGCCTGGGCTATGGACCAAGTCCCCAGCAGGGGGCGCATGAGAGGCAGCCACACATTGATGTTTCTCTCCCTTTCTCCCTCCCTTCCTCTCTCTAATAAATAAATAAAATCTTAAAAAAAAAAAAAAAAAGAAAAACATAAAGAACAGTTAAAAACAATCAGGAGTGGCAATAAGAATGGAAGAGGACAGAAGAAAATCTAGAAAAAAGACTAACTAGAATTTAGGGGAATATTTAATATTTAAAACTTTATTTTAAAGGGAACTTAAGTGTGAATTTCTGACTTTTTAAAAGTATTCTTTCTACAGGGGTGGGCAAAAGTAGGTTTACAGTTCTCAGTATGCAAAAGTTTATTACTATATTATTATTTATTAATTGTTGTATTATTATTTTTTGTTTTGTTTTGAACTTAGCATTGTGTAATGCAGAAGTTTGTAAATGCAGCATTAGCTCACTGCTTTGGGCATCCCCTGTGGACTCCCAAACAATGTAGCTGTGGCCATGAAGGTCCTTACTGACTTGCAAGCACCCCTACAATTCTCAATGCTCTTCAGATTCCTATTTTCCTAAAAAAGGGGCCTGCCTAGGAGTTCTGTTCCAGGACACTTAGACTCATCACAGGTTGTCAAAAGCAGACCCTCCTCATTGGACAGGCACTGTGTTTGAGTCCAGCTGAGCCTCTCTGTCCAGAGACTAGATGAAGCCCTTGTGGGGCATGGGTGATTGCTTAAACTACTGAAATAATTATGAAAAGGGGTCTTCACATTACAATTAATATTCAAATGCACTGGGACATCTAGCATTTTGCAGTGAAACTTTCATAACCATTTATTGTAGATTCCACTTATTTCATTAAAACAATTCCTTGTCATCCTTTGCTTGAGTAGAGGGTTAGCTTGGAACCTGGCATCTGTGGAGCTTTGACTATGAGTTAACTAATAGGCATGGGGGTGCAGACCTGTAACTGGAATCCACAGGGGCAGATTATTTTCTTTTTCAACCTCTTGATGGCTGAAGGTGCTAAACATGACACACTCTGTAACAGTCTGGTCTTCAGCAAAGGCGGGGGCAGAATGGGCTAGAGACCCAAGGAGAGACTGGGGAAGGAGGCTTCAGGGAGAGAACCGAGAGAGCAGCCGGAGGGATCCTGGAGCTGACTCACCCCCCATATGGTAGCAGCCATCCTGCTCAGGCAGACCCAAATTATTGTATTATTTCCATATGAACAACTATAAACCTACTTTTGCCTACCCCTGTACATTAGAATAATTGAAAAGACGGTAAGTTTTTGGTAGGCCCACTGAAGTACTAAAATCAAGCCTGGCTGTCTCTTCAACTTTACAAAGATTTTCTTTGCATTCATTTTAAATTTTCAGAGCAGATTAACATTAAGAGCACACTATCTGTACCACATTGTAAACACTGAGCCTCCAAGAAAAAACGCGAGATATCAACTGCTTGCTTACGTCAAATGGATGGTGAATCCCCTTGGCGACAGCTTGGTACAGAGGGCTGGTGGCATTGCTGCCCCTTTTAACATGTGGCCCAGCACCAAGGACATGCTGGAGAACACTAAATGCATTTGCTTCTGCACTTCCTGCGGCAGCACTTTCTGCTACAAAAGCAGCATGGACGAGACTGTCTCCGTTCTGTTCTCGAATTTCACCTGGGGCCATGTAAGGAGAGGGTGAAGAAGAAAGTGGCCTGGTCACCATGGTTTTATTCTTCAGTATTCTATACCACACACTATGAACCCACTAAGATTAAGCTTTCCTGAGGCCCAGTGCTCTTTCCCTGCGACCCTGCCCTCCCCACAAAACATGTTTAATAGACAAGACCCAAGTGAGCCAATTCTTTCCTTTCACATTGAGACTGTGTGGTAATAAAGAAACAGGCTTATTCTACTCTAATACAGTATTTGGTGGGGTTGGGGCAGGGGGATTTCCTTCTGAAAAATTAACCTTAATAGAAGAAAACACTCACCTCCACGGTATCTGGCCTTTGCACCAGATAAACCAAGTCCACCCCTCATGTTCAGAAACCGTTCAGCAACTTGCTTCAGAACAGAATGACTCACACCTATTTCACCAGAAAGAAAACAAGCTAGAACCAGAGTTTCTAAAAGACAATTATAAAACATCTGTTTAAAAAATGATTATATAATTCAAATATTACAAAAATAAACAGTAATGAAAACAATAGTCACCCCCAAATGCCATTCTCCCAGAGATATCCATTTATAGTTTATTATATATTCATCTACAGCTTTTTTATATGCATATATTAACATTATCTTCATTTTTTTATTTTTCAAAATGGTGTTATTCTATTGATATTGTTTTTAACTTGTCTTTTGTAATTTGCATCTGAGTGAATGGTCTACATCAAACGTTTAATGGTTATAAAGAGTTCCATTACATGAATATACCATCATTTATTTAATCCCTTCTTTATGGACATTCAGATTTCCAATAGTTGACTATTAAAACAGTACTCATTGTGTATCAAAGAACCCTTTTGAGAGGTAAAGACAACCGACAGAATGTATCTGATAAGGATTTAGTATCTACAATATATAAAGAAGTCTTACAACTTGAAAATAAAAAAAGCAAACAACCCAATTAAAAAATGGACAAAGGAATGGAATAGACATTTCTCTAAAGAAAATATAAAAATGGCCAATAAGCACAAAAAAAGATGTTCAACACCAACAGTCATTAGGGAAATAGAAATCAAAACAACGAGATACCACTTCACACCCACTTGGACGGCCATAATCAAAAAGGCAGAAAATAACAAGTGCTGGTGAGGATGTTGAGAAATTGGAACCTTGTGCACTGTTGACAGGAATGTAAAATTCCGGTTCAATTGCTTTAGAAAACAGTCTGGCAGTTCTTCAAATGGTTACACAGTTACCAAATATCCTGGCAATCCTACTTCTAGGCATATACCCAGAAGATTTAAAAACAGATGTTCTAATCTAACAAAAACCTTATTATACACAAATGTTTATATTCACAATAGCCAAAAGATGCAAACAACCCATATGAACATCTGATGAATGGATAAATAAAATATGGTGATGGAATATTTTTTAGCTAGAAAAGGGAACACTGGTACATGACGTAACATAAATGGACTTGGAAAACATTATGCTAAGTGAAACAAGCCAGTTACAAAAGGTGACATAATGTATGAATTCCATTTAAGTAAGATGGCCAGAACAGTCAATTATGTATAGACAGAAAATAAATTAGTAAGGTTGCCAGACAGACAAGGAGGAGGTGGAATGAGGAATCACTGCTAATGAGTATGGGATTTTTTGGGGGGGATGATGAAAATGTTCTGAAATTACAAAGTGGCAAGAGTTGCACAACTCTATATTAAATACCATGAACTGTATGTACATTTTAAAAGGGTGAATTTCATGATATATGAATTATACCTCAATTAAGCTATTACTTATAAAACAATGAATGAAAAAACAATATTGCAAATAATATTCTCAAACAACTATTTTGTAAACTTAACCAAGTGTTTCTGCAGGTTATATTCTGAAAAGCAAAACTGCTAGTTTTAAGAGCATAAACATTTAGAATCTTGATATACTCAAACAGGTCTCCAAAAATGTTCTATCAGTTTACATTCCCACCAACAATTTTTGAGAGTGCCTACTACTTCCATACCCTGGGTAATACTGGGCAATGTCAGTCTTTTATTTTTTTTGCCAATCTTACAGATAAAAATTTTCTTAATTATTAGTGAGTCTGACCATCTTTTACAATGGTAACTGACCCCCCCTCAACACACACATACACACACACACAGAGTTTTCCCATGAATTGTCCGTTCATGCCCTTTGCCTAATTGTCTATTAAACTGCTTCTTTAAAAAACAAATAAACAAACCAAAAAAACCCCAAAACCTGTAATAAATTTAAAACTAGTAGGTTATACAGTTAAATGTTGGATTCAGTTTTTTTAAGGAAAAAACCCCACTAGCACCTGAAATCTCACTACATACTGCCTATGAGACAGAAACAGAGGACTGAGTTTTCAAGTTTTGTTCAATCTGTATTGACCTAATTACAGTTTAAAAGACAACTTTTAAGAAAGCAAACTGATATGTAGGCAACTCCCAACTTACCAAGTCCAATCAAAGCCATTCTTGCACTTGTAAAATGGTTCTGAACATAGTTATGTAACTGAGGAAGTTAAAAACATTTGTTAGATTATATTGGTATAAATACAGAAAAAGCTGGGAGGTGTTGGGTGGATGTAGAAGTGGGTATAAGGGGGATAAATGGTTAATGGGAAAACAACAGTAAAAACCAAAAACAAAAAAAATCACACTATATGAAAAATTAAAAAAAAAACAACAAAAAAACAAGCTGTTAAAAACTCCAAACTGCAGTTCAGCAGAGAAATGATCTCTTAAAAGTTGTTATAACAAATAATAAGGGACTACCTAGATTTTATTTAAAAACTACTGCTTAAAAGAATTAGAACTTTTGATGTGATGATGGTTACATTAACTGTGAATATAATGAAAACTACTAAATTGTGGACTTTAAATAGGTAAACTGTATGGTATGTGACTTACATCTTAATAAAGCTATTACTAAAAAAAAAATAAAAAAGGGAATGAAAAATTAGAGCACACACTAGCTTGAACTTGAAAAAAATCTGAACCTAGTTTACTACTTATATGATGTGACTTAAGCAGCACACCAGGCTTCTTTTGTCTTTATGTAGGCAGTACTAAAGCGCAATTAACATTCTACAAGAGAGCTAACAATGCACTGTGCCTCTCTCCCATCTTGCTATGAGGTTACTGACTATACCAGGCTGTTCAACCTAGATGAAAATAGTATCTGGGGAACTTAGAAAACATAAACACTGTCACTGTCTCCCAACCCCCACCCCATTCCTAGGCTCACTATACAAACTGATATATAGTAGAACTCAATGTAGAATCTTGGAATCTTTGTTTAAAATTACCCCCGATCCCTGTGATCTAAGCATCAGTGAGATTTGAGAATCACTGGTTTATACTATTATTTTAGCCCTAGTATACAAAGGTCAGGTTTACACATGCACTCTCAATAGGAGAACTATTGCTCCAGGGAAGGAAAATTGGTTCTTAAGGGTAAAAAAATTCTTTTTTTTTAAAATATACAGAGTACAAATATACAGTATATTAACAGATATTCAGTATATCTGTGGTATTAGAAATTCAAGCGGGGGGTTTAGAAAAATTTGACTACAAAGTCTCTTTGGGAATGAGTCATAATGTTGAGAATCACTAGTGTAGGGTAATGAAACTGAAATTCTAATCAAGTTATCAAATATTTGTGCCCTAAAATGAATGGTTCCTACAAATATGGAGTCACTGTGGATACCCGTATTTTTTTTTTTTCCTGTTGCATGACGCCATTGCTCAAAGTATTCTGGCACCAACTTCTTTAGAATTTCCTTTAGCCTAGAGACACATTTAAAAAATGCTAATAATTTGAAATAATCTTGGTACACATTTTGGTATTTATCTATCATACACATACTTTATTACTATTTTTTAAATTACAACATAGTTGATATACAACGTGTACCTTTTTTTTTAAAAGTGAGACTCTGGTATGTCCTATTCATAAACTGCCTTTTCTTCACTTGACAATACACTAAAATTTTTCCATATCAATTAATAACTTGAATGGTTGAATAGTGTTCCACTCTATAGATATTTAATAACATTTAACTATTTCTGCAATGTTGGATATTTAACTTGTTTCTAATTTTTCAAAATTATATACAAAACCATAATAGATAAATGTTTTACTTTGTGTTGTCTTTTAGCTACCTTAGTAATTTATCTTCACAAAGGTAAATGTTTTTAGTCACAAGATTATGATATTTAAAGATTTAATACTGTTTTAAAAAATTATGTACACACAGAAAAGGATCTAGAAGACAATAAACCTACATCTTAACACTGAGTGCCTTTAAGTATATGATGTGTTTTCCTTCATTTTGCTTTTCTTTGTTTCTGAATTTTCTGTAATGAGTACGTCCCCCTTAGAATACAAAGTTTTTAATTTTAAGCTAAAACATACAAAAATTGTTCTGATAGAATTTTACTTATTAAAAAGTTGATTAAAAAAGCAAATAAGTAATTTTTAAACTAGAAGATAAAAAGAAAAATTAGTAAACAAACCCAACATGGTAGGTGAACATTCAATTTAACATGAAACAAGCACATTTTAAAATGAGATGTGTTGTGCAGTACCTCATCTGATGTGACCCTTCCAATCCTATAGTCTGGACAATACAAGGAATTAGCCAAGGCATTTCGGTAAGCTGCAGCATGCAAACTTTCAATGATACCTGTAAAATAGAGTCACAGAAATGTAATTTAAATAAAGACAACATTTTTACAACTTAGAAAGCTTTGGTCGTCTTATGGCAACTTTTAAAATTCTGCCAGTTGAAAAGTGCTGAGAAAACAAGAGGTCACATGTTAGAGTCCACCTAAACACTTCTCTATGCACTTGATATTATCTGGAAGCTATAATGGTCTGGGCTTCAGGAAGTCTGACTTGCTGTGTGACCTTGGACAAGTCATTTAATCAGAATTTTACTTATTTCTAAGTTCCCTCTCTGGGTAATGAGGGAGTTATCAGTGTAAGAGGAGGTAGGAGAATGTCAGGCTTAGGTCGTATTATTAGTTTTCAGGAGTCAAATGCTACTACCATCAAATTGTACCCCTCACTGGTGTCCTGGCACTGTCCTTGCGTTCCTGCTTCAGGGGCTTTGCTTGGGATATGTCCCTTTCACTTGTTCGTTACTGGGCAATCTTCCTATGCCAGCCCCTGTGCTAAGTGCTGGTAACACAGAGATGAGTAAGACACAATGCCCTCAAAATGTTGAGGAAACTTTGGACAAGTCATTTAATATGAATTTTACTTACTTCTAGGTTGCCTCTCTAGGCCAACAGTACATCAAAAATGCAGAGGGGCACAAGGGAAGGCACTGGAGCTAGACAGGAGTTAACACAAGTAAAATCTGGGATGAGTCTTACAGAATGAGTAGATATGTTTGTCAGGTGAGTGATTTGGGAGTGGCACTTCAAGCAGCAGAAACAGATGAAGGTATAAAACACGACAACAATTTGATTCAAAGGGGAACTGCAGTTAGAAGGAGGAGAGGCTAGAGCAAGAAAAAAGGAAGGCAGACAGGGCCAGATGAATTTGGGCTTTATCCCATATGTAATTAGAAAATTGTAAAGGATTTTTGCTGGATTTTCATGTCAGAGGAATCATTGTAATGACAATATGGAAGATGGGTTGAGGATGTAAACCTGCGGACAGACACCTGCCAGTAAACTATAGTAACTGTTCGGGCAAAAAGGAGGAGGGCTGGAGTCTCACTGCTACCGGTGGGTAAGAATTCACTCTGGACATATAAATCATTTTTCTAATATTTTACCATTCTGCCCTGATCAGTGCTGCTCAGTGGCTTAGGCATTGTCCCGCAAAGTAAAAGGTTGCCAGTTTGATTCCCATTCAGGGTACATGCCTGGGTTGCGGGCCAGGTTCCTGGTTAAGGGAGTGCAGAAGGCATCCAATCGATGTTTCTCTCGTATCTGCTTCTTTCCCTCTCTTTCTCCTTCCCCTCCCCGTAAAAATAAATAAATAAAATATCTAAAAAAAAATAAAATAAAATTTACCATTCTATTTCTTCCATAGAGATCAAGAGTAACAAAGATCATACTTCTCTGTGACACAAAGTATCATCTGAAATGTCAGCTAACATGAACCGAGCACTCATTATGTTATAGGGAAGAGACCCTCTCTCAACAGGATTGTGTTCTTTTTGTGTTTGTTTCAGTATATTAGGTAGATCTGCTATGACTCTCAAACATGTTATGATGGCTTTATAATGAAGGCGTCCTAAGGGGCCCAAGTGGTGTAATCTTCCAGAACACCTGAGCTCAGTGTTCCAGGAAATGTCTCTTGTATGTTATGTGCGTTCCCCTGTTGTATTTGAGTCTTGAAAGTTGTAGGCCTGTTCTTGGGTGGAGTTAACCCTCAGGCTGGGTGACAATAAGGATATACCTTGATCACAGTTAATAAGTCGCTATATAGGGGCTGTCCTCCCCAGGTGAAGTTGTTCCCAGCACTGCCTGGTACATGCCAGAATTCCCCCTTTGGGTGTTCTGCTAGTGTGGCTAGTTGGGTTGAGCTCTGATGTGATCTGAAGCCCACCACTGGTTGTGTTGGTCCTAGGTCCCAATCAGGTGGGGTGCTGGTGCAAGTCAACGACAGACTCTGCATGTAACCAACCTTGGGCTACCTGTCTGGAGCTACCATGATATTCCCTGTTTATGGCTTTCTCTATTGGGCCTGGGCGTTTTTGGGAGGGGCCAAGTTATGTACAAGTGTGGGCTTTCTCCAGCTCTGAGCCAGAGACAGATCAATAAAAGGTCCAAGGCACCCTGAGGTCCACTTCCACCTCTTGGCCACTCTGCCAACTTCTGAGGTCACCTGGTCTTCCTTCAGAGCCTTGCTGAAGAACGACCATAGAGTGGGCCCAGCCTGTCCACAACCCACTGGCCTGTGCAAAAGGCATGAGTTCAATGGGGTGACTGAGGTCGGGAGGACCAACTTAGTGAGTGGGCTCCTGCAAAAGGCCTGCATTTTGAGCAAAGCCCATCCCACACAGAGCCCCTGAAGCTGGTTACCTGTTTAGACCTGAGGGGCCTACCTACACATCAGCTCCTACCAAAAATTGAGTTACTTCCAAGAGTTGCTGCTGTTTGTTTACCTATTTGCTTTGCCAGTTGTATGTGGCAAAATTATATAGTTAAACATTATATAAATACAAAATATGAATACAATAATAGATCTTATTTAAAAAAATTAAATCAGAGAATCAATATAGTGGACGAGTGAACGGAAGCCACACCGACCTCCTCCCAGGACCAATCTGGAATAACAACTAAATTATGGAGAAATCACCTGGAACAAACAACTGCACAACAGCAAGCAAAGGAGCCTTATAACCCAGAAACAGAAGAGTCAGCTTTAGCGGAATCTAACTGGTAAAGAGTGTGGTAGAGACTCAAGAAGGTGGGAGGGGCGCCCACAGGTAGCAGCACCAGAAGGATATTGAAAGGACCAGTTAGATGCCCCTGAGAAGAATGGGGTCTAAACGAAAAGCAGTGATCTGGGATCTCCAGCCTACAGCACCAGAGCCCAAAAAGTACACGGAAAACAGCCAGCTACGAAAAGCGGCAGGGTTGGTCTCTGCCAGAGACAGGCTGCTGGAGACACAAAGAGCCGTTTAAAGTGCCAATGCATACATTTTTATTTGCAGCCACTTACCCTGGTCTCTGGCAAAGGTGGGGGCAGAGTGGACTAGAGACGCCAGAGGAGGCACCAGAGAAGGAGACTTTGGGGAGAAAACTGAGAGACTAACTGGCAGGATCTCAGTCCTGACTCATCCCCCACATGGCAGCAGCCATCTTATTCAGGCAGAGACCACTCCTCTTGAGCGGCAGCAACGTCAGAGGACCCAATAGCCCCACCCCCAGGTGGGATTCCAACCTGCCCTGTGCTGTCTAAGCTGCCTGCTGAGTGCAGAGTGGCAGCCACCGACAGTCGATCCTTGGCTAAAAGGAGTGCAGAGTGGCCTGGAGGCACTTGAGGAGATTGGGGACAGAGGCTTTGGGGAGAGAACAGAGTAGTCGGCAGGATCCCAGTGCTGACTCCTCTCCCTATGCAGCAATATTGCTCAGGCACAGACCACTCCCCCGAGTGGCAGCAGCATGACAGGACCTACTAACCCTGCCCTAGGAGGGACTCTACCCTGCCCTGAGCTGTCTAAGTTGGCCTGCTAAGTGCGGAGTGATTAGATTAACAGCTGAAGGAGACAGCCAGACAGCAGATTCCTGGAAGTCTCCAACAGACTGCCTAAGGTCAGAGAGGGACAACATCTGACATCATCAGAGGCAGATCCAGAAAGTAAAAACAGTGGTCTCCTACCGTAGACATTCTTACCACAAAGTCAGGAAATCAAGACAGATCAATTCAAGAAGCAGAAGTAAAAAAAGAGAAGAGTCTCGCAAATAATGGGAAGACAAAGAAATACCCCCCACTTGAAGGGAAAGGAGGAATCCCCAGAAAGAGGACTAAATGAAACAGAGGCAGGTAAACTATCAGATATTGAGTTCCAAACAATGGCTCTAAGGAAGCTCAGTGAGCTCAGTGAGCTCAGAGACAATTACAAAAAACTACAGAGAAACTAGGAGGAACTTACTACAAACTATATCAGCATGAAAAAGGACATAGAAACTCTCAATAGGCAATCGACAAAAGGAAATGAAGAATGCAATTTCTGAATTGAAGAACACAGTAGAAGGAATCAAAAGCAGGCTAGATGAAGCCAAGGATCGAATCAGTGAGCTGGAGGACAAGGTACAAAAAAGCTCCCAGAAAGAGCAAGAAAATGAAAAAAGACTCAAAAAGAATGAAGAGGCATTGAGGGAAATGCAGGAAAACATGAAATGTAATAATATCCTTATAACAGGGATACCAGAAAGAGAAGAGGATAAGGAAGGGGGGTAGAGAACCTGTTTGAAAAAGTAATGATGGAAAACTTCTCCAACTGGAGGAGAGAAAAAGTCACGCAAGTCCAGGAAGCACAGAGGGTCCCATTCAAGAAGAGCCCAATGAGGCCCATTCCAAGACACATCATCATTCAAATGGCAAATATCAAAGACAAACAGAGAATCCTAAAGCAAGCAAGGGAGAAAGAGGTAGTAACATATAAGGGAGCCCCGATACGGCCAGCAGCTCACTTCTCAACAGAAACACTGCTAGCCAGAAGGGAGTGGCAAGAAATATTCCAAGTCATGAAAAGCAAGGGCCTGCAACCAAGACCATTCTACCCTGCAAAACTCTCAATTAAAATGGAAGGTGAAATGAGTTTCCCAGACAAAAAGAAGGGCTAAAAGAATATACCTCCACCAAACTAGCACTGCAAAATATGCTAAGGGACCGCTTTAAGAAGAAGGAAAAGTCTATGAATACCCAGTTCCTTTCACAGTTGCCAATACTTGATATTACCAATATTTTTTAATACGTATTTATCTGATTGTGACAATGATGTTATTTTAATTTTTCCTTTTTATTTGTTGAAACTAAACCTGTTTTTGTATATTTCTTGCCTATATCTATTATTTTAAAAAAGCTTTAAATGACTTTTTGCTATTCTTTATCCATTTATTGACTAAAGGTTTGTAGAATTTTGTCCCCTAAAAAATAAAAAACCATTAACTCTTTTTTAGATGTGTGGCAAATATTTTCTGATTCTTTGTCATTTATCTTTTTTATATGTACATTACTATAGTCTTAAATGTTTAATATAGTCATATTGTCAATATTTTACTTTATAGCTTCTGAGTTTGAATATTTGACTTCAGGTAAGAAAAATATTATTTTGTATTTTCTCCTAAAACTCTTTAGATTTTACATACTGATTTTTAACTCACCTGAATATTTATTGTATAATGTGTGAAATAGGGCTCTATATTTGTTTTATTTCAAGTAATAGTGGTGTATGTACTTTATTTGTTGAGTAAGCCTTATTTTCCCCATGAATTTGAAACATCAATTTAATCATATATTACATTGTTAGATATATATGTTTATTTCTTGGATGCTCATTATATTTCATTGATCTACTTGATTATTTCTGTGCTGGTGTCATGTTGTTTTAATTGCTGAGACTTTATAATGGATTTCAATTTTTTAGTATTTTATAATTGACTTTGAGATTTAAAAAAATAAAAATCAATCTGCATTTAAAAAAGAAAGAGAGAGAGAAAGAAAGAAAGAAAGAACGAACTCCTACCCTTTGCGACAACATGGATGGAACTGGAGAATATTATGCTAAGTGAAATAAGCCAGTTGGTGAAAGACAAATACCATATGATCTCACCTGTAAGTGGAATCTATTCAACAAAGTAAACTAATTAACAAAATAAACCACAGGCATGGAAACATGGAGCAGATTGGAAGTGACCAGAGAGGATGGGGAAAGAGGACAGTGGTGGAAAGAAGGGGAAGGGACCAGATAATGAACATGTATGAATGACCCATGGACATGGACAACAGAGTGGAATTGACTGTGGGAACGGGGGTGGGGTGGGAGGGGTGGAGAGGGCAACAGGGGAAAAATTGAGACAACAGTAATAGAATAAACAGGACTTAAAAATTTAAAAAAAAAAAAAAAGAAAGAAAAAAGAAAAGAAAATCAAGGAACATGTATAAAGGACCCATGGACAAAGCCAAAATGGGGAAGGATTGAGGGTAGGAGTGGGTGGGGCAGGGGAAAGTGGTAGAAAATGGAGACAAAAGTATTTGAATACTAAAAAAAAAAAACCAACAGGAAAAAATTTAAAAAATAAAAAAATTAAAAAAATTAGGCAGAATGTTTTGGAAAGACCCAATAAAGGTGGATTGGCTAAACAGTAATGGCTATTATGTAACAATAAAGAATAATGTCAGTGGCAGCAATACACTGACATTGGATTCGGTGGAAGCAAAACCAAAAAAACAAACTAGAACACACACACACAGACACAAAAATTAACCCAAAATCCCACAGACGGGGTAGCAGGAAAAATACCTAGGATTTCATAATCAATATATAGTATAAAAGCTGAAAAATAATCAACAATATAAAAATTCAGGAACAAAAAAACACAATATATTTTAAAAATTGGACAAATTTTTGGAAAAGGCATTTTCAAACCCAAGTAGAAAAAAACTTCATTTTCTCCTTCTCTATAAATTGGTATCTCGAAAACGCAGGATCTTAGAAACAACTGATGCAATCTGAAAATCACTTACGAGCCTGTGGATTTTGATAAGCCACAGCTTTGTCAATCCTTAGCTGAGACTGAAGAGCTGCTACCTCCCAACGACGAAATTCAGGTGCTGAGGTGACATTGAGCAGGAACTCCATTAGAATTTCGCTGCAGAAGACATCAAGATACAAGTCAGGAGTCAAAAATGTAAAACTAGCATCTATTCTATGTAACTGTAAGACTCTCAAAATAAAAGTTTAACCTTGTGGCGAGCACAGTGTTTTAAGCGCTTGGCAAATCATAATCCAGAACCAAAGTCAGAGGTCATAATGCTACATTTAGAACTGAGCAGCTTAGTATTTCTTTAAAAGCAGATGTCCTAGCCCTGGCTGGGTAGCTCAGTTGGTTAGAGCATTGTCCCTGTACACCAAGGTCATGGGTTTGGTCTCAGTCAGGACACATATAAGAAGCAACAAAGAATGCATAAATCAGTGGAACAATGTATCAATATGTCTCTCTCCCCCCTCCTTCCTCTGAAATCAATAAATTAAAAAAAAAAAAAAGCAGATGTCCTAAATACATGCAAGTACTTACACGTCATCCCGTAGGCATTCCACAGTGTAGGCCATGTTTTCCCTTGTTGAAGTCACACTGCATCAGAAATAAATTACTGTACAGTGAAATTATCTGAATCAGAAGTTTTCATTTATATCTGTTAACCAGCTCCTTTGAAAAAAATTATTTTGAAGCATAAAAAAATATAAATAATGTAACAAAAATACACATACCCATCAACTTAAATTTAAAAACATTAAAAAAAATTATGCTGCACACCTGAAACTAGTATAATATTGTATGGCAACTATTATTGAGAAACAAAAATGGTTAAAAGGATATTTTTAGTAATACAAATAATTTTAACTTTAAAAAGGAAAGAAACCCTGACACACTGCACATGGATGAATCTTGAAGACATTACGCTAAGTGAAATAAGTCATTCACAAAAGGATAAATGTTGTATCATTCCACTTATATGAAGTATCTAGGGTAGTCAAAACCAGAGACAGAACATAAAATGGTGGTTGGCAGGAGAGGAGGAGGGTAGAGTTAAAGTTTAGTAACTACAGAGTTTCAACATGGAAGATGAAAATGCTCTGAAGATGGATGGTGGTGATGATTGTTTCATGCCACATAATACTGTAGAACTACAAACTTTAAAGAAATTTTGTGTTATGTATATTTTACCACAACTTGAAAAAAAAGACAACTGAAGTTGAAGATCCCTTTGTATTCTTCCCAGGCTAATTCCCTCACTCTCTCCCATTCTAGGGACAAACATATTCATAAACATTACATATTGTTTTAAAAAATTATAAACTCGCATCTTTAAAAAATCTTGAAACTTGTTTTTCCATAAAACATTTTGTTTTTTTAGTCTATTATGCTGATATACAGATCTAGGTCATTCCTTAACTGCTATGTAGTAGTCCCACCATATGACTATATTATACTTTATTTATCTGTATCTTTAAAGATGGCCACTTAAATTGTTTCCAGGCTCTACAAAAACATTTTTGTGACTGTAGATTAAAAAATGCTAGGTTGTAGGATATGCTCATTTTCAATATTACTAGATATTCCTTGATTCTTTTCTAGGTAGTTCAATCAATTTATACTCCAACCGGCAGTATAAAATATTCTCCATCTCCCATAACACTGCTAACATAAGAGATAAAAACTCTGATGGGTGAGGAATGGTTAGCACACTACCGATTACAAGATTGCTGTTTCTGGCTTCCTTTTCTGGGAATAACTTGTTCCTGTCCTCTGTCCATTCATCTTCTCTTTGTTTTTCTTTTCCCTAATATGAAATTCTTTATTTTTCAAAATAATCCTCTCTACATTATGTTGCAAATATCCACTCCCAGTTAATTACATTTTTACTTTAAAGCATAAAGATGTTTACATTTTGATGTAGTCAAATCATTAGTCTTTTCCTTCTTTAAGAAATCTTTAACCACCTTGATAAACAGAGAAAAGTTCTCTGAGAATAGAATATTTTCTGGTATTTTCACTATTTATTTCCTAATACTTATTTTAAACAAACCTTAATTTGCCACCAACTGCTTCAATTCCACGAGTTATCTTGAAAGATGATGCTCCTTTTGTAGTCTTAAAAGAGAAAAAAACAAATAGTTTTAGTAGTTTTTTAATTCTAAGTTTGCCAAACAGGACACTACATTATAATCTAGTATCTGTCATTAAATTCAAAGGGAACTTTATCTAAATAGTGGGTCCTTTCTAGTTTAAGAATTATAAAACATCCCTGGCTGGTGTGGCTCAGTGGACTGAGTGCCGGCCTGCGAACCAAAAGGTCGCTGGTTTGATTAAAGTCAGGGAACATGCCTGGTTTGTGCGCCACGTTCCCCAGCTGGGGGCATGTGAGAGACAACAGATCAATTTCTCTCTCCCATATTGATGTTTCTCTCTCTCTCTTTCTCCCTCTCTTCCCCCCCCCAAAAAGTAAATACTTTTTTTTAAAGAGTTTATAAAACAAAATTCACCAAAAAGTGCAAGTATAGATTTTTATATAAAGTATATTTAGGAAAGAATTCCATTATCAAATATAAGCTTACTAGGTTCATCAGTCTCTTCTAAAAAAGATTTCTGTATGGGAAAGAACAATTTTCTTTCAACTCTTCATACTTTCTTAAAATTTAATTTTTTAAAACTGATTTTTTATACTCTAGCACAAACATAAAATAGACACTAATTTAATGCTTCTCTGTGATTTTTCATGTTATATAAAGAAACTGTACAGGGTTGAATACTGTTCCCTCAAAATTTATGTCCAACAGAACGTGTGACTGTGACCTTATTTGAAAATAGAATTTTTGCAAACGTATTTAAAATGTGGTCACACGAGATTAGAGTAGGCTCTAAATTTAATGGGAATGGAATAATCAAGAGGGACATTTGGACACAGAGATAGAGAGAAGGCTGTGTGACAAGAGACAGAAGTTAGAGTGATGCAGCTGCAAGCCAATGAACACCAAAAATTGCTGGCCACCACCACAAGCCAGGAAGGGGCAAGGAAAGGCTCCTCCTGGAGCCATCAGAGGGAGCATGGTTCAACTGATACCCCGAGTCTGAATGCTAGCCTAAGAGGATAGATTTCTGTTGTTTGAGCCACTCAGTTTGCAGCAATTCGTTATGGCAGCCCTAGCAAACTAATACAGGAACACTGCTTTTAGTTTTTCTTTTCTGTAGGACCAAGAGATCACAGTATTCTAAATATATTGAGGGAGTAAAGATGCTTACCAGACTGGATGCAAGACGAAGCAAATGAGAGGTTCCTAAGTTGTTAGAGTCCTCATACCTACTGCCTGCTTTAATGAACAAACCAATTCTTGATGCAGGAGCATAGTTTTCCAGAGAGGCAATCACTAAACCATTTGGTAATTTGGTAAACTGTATTTAAAATAAAGTAGAGATGTGAATAATCTTTTTATTACCAAGCTAGTAAGGCATGTACAAGTTCCGGGGAACAACTCAGTAGGACTAACCTCAAGGTCCTGAGGATGTGGAGGCACTCCCGCAGGGGCAGCTGTGGCTTTCACTTTGGGAGCAACTTTGAGGGAATAAAATCTCTAAACATATAAAAAAGACAAGTTACACACATTTCTCAGAAAAATGGTGCACTGTATCCTTGCATGCCCAAGCAAACAGGTGTTCAGTGGTAAAAGAACTCCATGGGAAGATTTAACTGATTGACTTATTATGGACTTACTAACCCACCATTCACACAAGCCTCTCTTAAACCTCTTATTTATTTGTGATTTGTAGAGCCTGAAGGCATACCAAGTTCTACATGTTTATTTTTACTATGTAAATAATTACTGTATTTTTTTTTTTTTTTTACCTTTCAACTATCTTATTAAAGCTTCAAGCGGCTCTTTCTAGCTCTAATTCTTGAGGTTATTTGAAAAAGTGTGGAACTGTCACATCCACACTTTTACAGATTTTAGCATTACTGCTTCCCTTATCTGCCCAAAGAGTCTCATCTTTTTAGTCTATTTCCCAACTGAAATGACAATCTCCTTAATCATTTTATTACCTTTAAAAAAGACACAATGTACCAAGGAAAACTTCTATCAAGCCCCAAATGGTTCCCATATCTTCATTCTCTTGTCTGCTACACTGAGACTACACAACAAAGGGTTATAGCTTTTTTGACTAATACAAATCTGTATCATCCTGAAATTAACAATAGCCTCATGCACAGCAGAATCTTAATGTGTAATATGCAGCCACTGATAAGGAAAAGGGTCCTTTTAAATGCTGGATTATGAATCTAAACTGCATAACTTTTTTTCTTTTTGGAAAATGGTATCAATGGCACAAAATTTGTTTTATTATGCCTAAGGTTTGAAGTTACAGTGGATATGTTAGGAAATAATAAACTTGGTACTCCCAAGACCAAAGGATCAAACGTGAAGGACAGAGGGCACTTTGTTGTGCTTTCAGCAGCAGTGCACTAGTTGATTCCTAGTTTTCACTTGCTTTTAGTACTTTTAATTATAGATTACAATTAGCTTTGTTTTATCACCAATTTTGTTTGCTGGGTGTGGCATAGTTAACACTACTTGTGATTTTGGCTATTAATTTCCCAAAAGTTAAAATTTAAGACATGTAGGCATAAATTTCAAATATGAATAATCCATACAGCTACTGCCAAGAGAGATTTATTTTCCCCTCAAATGTGCCTGAACAGTGACACTTTGTTGGTTATGTGCTTCCTATAATTTGTCCCATTCAAATAAGTTGCAAAGAATTATCCAGTGCCCTGGCTGGGTAGCTCAGCTGATTAGAGTGTAGTCCTGATACACCAGGGTTGCAGATTCAATCCCTGGTCAAGGCACTACAAAAATCAACCAATGAATGTATAAATAGGTGGTGCCACAAACTGATGTTTCTTTCTCTCTCTCTCTCAAATAATCAATTAAAAATTATAATTTTAGTGACAATACATATGAATTTATTCTTATGCAAAGTGTTATAATTTAACATTAATAATTACTTTCAAGTTTACTGTAATTTGTTTACATTGGTACTCTCCAACTGTTACTTTTGAGTTTTTTTCCCCTCCCTGGGAGGTGGGTATGGATGGAATGGAGATTTTGGAATCTTTTGCCAGTCTAACTGGGCTTCCCTCAAAGGGTTGTTAATCTTTGGTTTGTCTAGGTGTGCTAGGAAGTGTAAAACAATCGCAGTCTAAATTATGGCCGTTTGTATAATCCATAGAATATCTATTTAAACATTAACCGCAGGAAAACTCCATTCCCTGGTCTTTTGCACCTCCCTCTACCAGGTTCCTAGGTTACCTAATAAATATGCTGGGTACTACTGGCATTTTGGGCTGGATAATTTTTTCGTTGTGGAGGGCTGTCTTTGTGCACTGTACAATGTTTTGGCCCCACCCTAGACCTCTAGATGCCAGAAGCACTTCACTGGTTGTTACAAACAAAAATGTTTCCAGATATTGCCAACTATTCCCTGGGGGCAAAATTAGCCAAGCTGAGCTTTTAAAGGGCGTTCTCGATCTCCCCTCTTAACCACCGCTCCACAGTGGCATAATACTAACACCTGAATTTATCCCAAGTGACAGCTATGTTTCATTTGGGCTTGAAGGAGGAGCCTTAAGCAGCTCTTGGGGGCACACAAAACAGCCCTCCTAGAGGAACTCTCTAACGAGATCAAGAAAAGCACACGCCATACAGCTTGAACACCGCAATAATCAAGTTCCAGGCAGTGATGACTTAAAAGGCATTAGCTCACTTATTACGATTTTACTCATAAGCTCACTTCACCGATCGGGAAACTGATGCTCCATGATACCCCAAGAAGTAAAGGCTGTGGCTGCCAGGGCAAAGGTGACAGCTAGGTCCACGCCGGCCTCCTGCCTCCAGGTCTCAAGATCTCGGCATACAATTGCAGCAGTGACCTTCAGAGGTCTCGCCACCAGGTCGCTCTCAAGCCCTCGCGCCCCCTCAAGTTTTCCCTCATTAGGTCTCTTCTTACAGCACGCACCTCGCATGCAACGCCAGACCCACCCAACCTGCAGGCCAGCTGCAGGGTTCAGTTCAAGGGCAGACCAGTCCAAGCCCTGGGACCCCTAACCAGGCACCTCCGGTTCGTATCACCTTCTTGACAAACTGCTCCCCAACTCTCCCTAAACCCGCCCGCTATGCTCACCGCGAGGGAGCTGGTTCTGGTTAGCAGCTTCATGGTCCAAAATTGCTCCCCACGGTCACCGCCGGTCTATAGGAAACAAGATGGTGGCTGACCGCTTGAGTTTCCCAGCTTTCCCCGCGTGCCCTTCGTGCGGGGCCTATCAAGGACCGCGGTCTATGCGGACCTCTCTACTGCTCCTTGGGGGAGGTTGGGTCAGTTTAATTCCTGCACTTCGTAGGGTAGGGAGACGCTGTTTTCTTAAGTAAGCATTCAGTACATAACTTCGGTTCGAACTTTCTGGATTCTCCTCCTGGCCAGGATATCCACTCTGCAATCCTCTCCTGATAAATTTACAGCTGTTACGCCCCTCCACCACTTTGGATTCTCCTGACCGGATTACCCAATAGGAAAGCGTCTTCCGGACCTCTTGGCTGTTGCTGTCTTGAGTTTGAGGTATGCGGCTCACTGGGAACCGTGCTGTTTGTCATTTTGTGGAGACCTGGGCTTCGAAGCAGGGTGTGACTGCGTGTGGGTTGGTTTAAGTCCTTGCCAGGTCATTCGGCCCAGGAGAGAGGCAGTCCAAGTAATTCACTGGCTTTACCCTCGAAGCAGGTCGGGGACAGAGTGCTCCCAACTAATGGCTCGATTGGAACATATATTCTAGGCAGGGGTAGTTACGTAGGAAATGAAAACTGTAGTTTTTGTTTGAGAAAATGACAATGTTTTAAATAGTAGGGGTTAGTGAGATTTCAGAGCCGAAACGTGCCTTTCGAGTCACGTGACACCGGGAAAGCACGCTCACCCCTCTCTTAAAGGAGCGGTAGCGAGCAGCTGCGGTGAGCCCGCGGCAAGTGGAAGACGGAGGCGCGGCGCTGCCCTTCAGGGACTGTCTGCGCTTTGCGACGTCGCGCGGCTCGGGAACCAAGAGCATTTGTATCACTTAGGGGTTTGTTAGGAATGTGGACTCTGCAGGTTACATGCTGGATCAATACATGGATTTTCACAGGGTCTCCGGGTGATTCACGTGTACATTAAAGTTCTGAAGGGCTGCTGTTCCACCCGTTAGAAAGCAGAGACAAACATCTTTGGCCTGTGGCTGAATTGCTCCGTGCCCACAACTGCCTAATGGGGTTCCGGTCTTTTAGAATCTAGCGCCAACCCAATTTCTGTGCTTTCAAAGTCACCCCTAACTCGGTCTGCACCACACATAAGAGTTACCCAAAGTGTGGTAGACTTACCTAGGGCGCGTGAGATGAATGAATGTTGTTCTACTTTAATAGTCATATTTATTTCGGACATTATGGGAAGCTATGCTGGGAGTGCGTGTCCTCTTTACATTTATGAGAGAAAAGTTGGTTTAAACATTAAGCAAATTGACTATAGGTGATAGGAAGATACGGCAAAAACCATGAAGGTTTTTACCTTCGTGTTATACCAATGAGTGAAGTGTGGGAAACTGCTGTGATAAAGTCACCCTCCTGCTTAAAAGTTTTTCAAGGATTCCCCATTTTTTCCAGAATAAGATTCAAATTAACAAGGCGTGCAGTACTTTCTTTGTTACCTCCAAATTAGCTGCACCTGAGAGTCCAACCACTGGAACGTCTTTACCCAATAGTTCACGTTAGGACACACGCGCGCGCACACACACAAACGCCTATTTAGAATGTTCCCTTCAGTTATAACACCACCCACGTGTGAAAACGTAACTATGACTCTGATAAAAAATTCTGTTCAAAATGAGATAGGATCTGAAACATAATTCATGATACCAGTTTCGTAAAATCCTTAAGTTATAAAGTATTTTACAACATTACAAAATTGTTCATTAAGCTTTAAACTACAAAGTAGGACTGCCATCTTGTGGACAGGTCTTGCACACCACATCGTATCACACCCTACCTAACTTCTTGACTACTGCTTATGTGTGGAGGTAGGCTGTGTGTAGTTGAGATTAAGTGCCATTATTAACATACATGTTAATATGTTATGTGGCATTTTCTACCTCTTCTGCACCCAGCCGTCCTACAGCTAATTATAGAATTATAATAGTAGAGGAACCTGGACCTCTATGAATTCCAGTTAATTCTCTTTTTGTGTTCTCATTCCCTATACCACTTAAATAGTTAATGCTGGGAGTAGTAAGGCCCATAATGGAGCGATGTAGTCAAAGCGATGAGAATGGAGGACCCAGAAGGAGAAAGCGGGTGACCAAGAGGGTAAAAAATAAAGCAGACAAAGGAGAGAAGAAGAGGGTTCTAAATACCAGGCTCCAGATTGCTTATATCTTCTTGCTATTACTGTTGCTAATTAAATGTTAAAATCTCTTTTCCTCTCTTATAATATCCTTAGTCCAGTCCAGCATGAAAGCAAAGGAGTAGGCAACAGAAAACCCTGAAGTTTCTCCAGGTTGCATGACCACCTCATGTCAGGTTTCTGTCACACTCTACATTTTATTGTAGAAAAAAGTGAAGTTCTTGAAATTGCTTCTACATAGGAGACATTGAAAAGCCTGGGAGGAGAAATGAGCAGACAGGAAGAGAATAGACATGGAAGACCACATGACTACATTTCCAGAAAGCTCAAATTGTTAGTTTTTTTTAATTAAAGATTATTTATTTTTAAAGAGAGGGAGAGAAACATCAATTCCTGGCCAGTGATCCAGGCACATGTCCTGGCCAGGAACTGAACCAGCAACGCTTCAGTTTTCGGGACAATGTCCAATGCACTGAGCCACACCAGTCAGGGCTGTTAGTTTTAATGTGGAGTCAAATCTGACTCCATGGGGTCCAACTCCCTGCCCTGAGCTGAAATTGGGTGGGTGGAGTATGTGTTGGGGTGGGGAGTGTCAAAGGGAAAGAAGCTATAGCAGGGGCAAAATAGACCTCAGGAAAGTGGTTTGATCTTACATTTGGGAACATCACCTTCCCATGTTAGGGCCAGAGGTATTAATCCTCCTCACCCATTATTTTGATGACTGGCATTTTCCTCCCCAGCCCTCTCAGAATCTTACCCAGGCAAATATCACCCTAACCTGGAGTTTCTTCCCCTTTCTCTGAATTTTGCTGCCTTGTGTTGATAATTCATTTTGTATTCACATTTTATCTTCCTTAACTACATTAAAGAAACATTATTTGCAGTTTCAGACATTAAATAGAAGTTAAAAAGGCAGTATAATTAACTTCCATTTTCCTATTATTACCCATTTTCAACCATAATCGGCATTTAACTTGTCTTTCTTTGATTTTAAGCTCCTTAATGGAGAGAAGTATTACTCATACATGTTTAAGATGACTTCAGTCATAATTGAGGGGGCTTGGTTATTTTCAACACCTCACTTGAGTGGTCGAGATATTTGTCTTCTCCATTTTTCCTGGATCTGTGCTTTTCCTATTAAACAGAAACATATCCCTTTTGTCTTAAAATCTCAGCTTTCACTTTCCTCTTAGTTGTATGTGGGCTCTAGTAACTTTGACATGCATCTCACTGGTTTATTTCAGATAGGAAGGAGAGAACACAAGTGAGCTCACTTGAGTCATAAGATTCCAAAGACAAGAAAGAAAGGGAACTGAGGATTAAGATTTTATTTAGAATGACTATTTTGGAGCCAGTCTAGATATACATGCTCTAGTTTTATGATGTTCAGTTAGATCTACATGATACCAATAAAATAAAAAAATTTGCAAGAAAGGCTGATTTGTGTTCTTGCAAATTATTCTAAGACTCAAGTAGCCAAACGTACTTTGGGAGTGGTGAATGTGGGAAATAAAGGAAGGAACAGGTTTGTCATCTGTTCATGGCTCTCAGTCTTATTTGAATGGTGATATGACGGAAGATAAGCTATCACCTGGTGATATTTTGTACTAATGTCAGGAAAAGTTCTTAAGAGAAAAATGACTTTAAAAAGTAACTTTATTTTTCAATTACATTTGACAAACAACATTATATTAGTTTTAGGTATAGAACAGTGGTTACACATTTATATAACTTACATAGTGATCACCCTGATAAATCTTGTTCCCATCTGACACCATACATAGTTATTACTTTTTTTTCACTATATTCCTTATGCTGTGCTTTATATTCTCATGACTACTTTGTAAAGATCAATTTGTACTCTTTAATCCCTTCACCTTTTTCACCCATACCACAATATCCCTCCTATCTGGCAATCATCACAATGTTCTCTGTATTTATGATTTTGTTTTTTTAAGATTCTACATATAAGTGAAATCATATGACAGTACCCTCTCAAAGAAGTACTCTGGAGAGAAAAGGTACTTCTCTGAGAGGGTATTTCACTCAGCACAGTTCCCTCTGTATCCATCCATATTTTTGCAAATGGCAAGGTTTCATTCTTTTTTATGCCTGAGTCATATTCCATTTTTATATATGCACCACTTCTTTACTCATCTATTGATGGACGCTCAGGTTGCTTTCATATCTTGGCTATTGAAAATAAGGCTGGAATGAATATGAATGCATATGTCTTTTTGAATTAGTGTTTTGAATTTCTCCAGATAAATTCCCAGAAGTAGAATTGCTGGGTCCTTCTTTGTCTCTTTGTCTTCTTGTGTTAAAGTCTCTTTTGTCTTCTTTCAATATTGATATCCTTGCTTTCTTTTGGTTTCCATTTTCATGAAATATCTTTTTCCATCCCTTTACTTTCAGTCTGTGTGTGTCTTTTTTAAAAAAATTTTTTGGTCTTTTTAAAATTTTAATTTTATTTTTTTAAATTTATAAATCAAGTTTATTCTATTACAGTTGTCTGTTTTTACCCCTTTACCCCCTCCACCCACCCTACCGCACTCCCCATTCCCACAGTCAATTCCCACTGTGTTGTCCATGTCCATGGGTCATTCATACATGTTCTTTGTCTAGTTCCTTCCCCTTCTTTCCACCATTGTCTTCTTTCCCCATCCCCACTGGTCACTTTCAGTCTGCTCCATGTTTCCTTGCCTGTGGTCTATTTTATTCATTAGTTTATTTTGTTGAATAGAGTTCACTTATAGGTGAGATCATATGTTATTTGTCTTTCACCAACTGGATTATTTCACTTAGCTTAATATTCTCCAGTTCCATCCATGTTGTCGCAAAAAGTAGGAGTTCCATCTCTCTCTCTTTCTTTCTTTCTTAAATGCAGATTGATTTT